AAGGAGTTTTTTTTTTAAGTAAAGAAGGGTTAGGTCAACTTAGACCATATAGAATATAATTATTTATTTTTTATGTTGGCCTAGTCCTTTTTTATTTTTTTATTTTTTTGAAAGAGAAAGGTTGCCTAGTTGTATAGCAATTTCCGACCTGGTAACAGTTTCTTCCAGGCATCTCTACAAGGGGCAAAACACCCCCCCCCCCCTTCAAAGAAAGTCTACCCCCCCCCCCCAACGAAATTGAATTTATATAGAAAACATATCGTTTTAGCGGTGTCCGCCCCACCTACCCCCACCCCCGAAAATATCAAGTCCCGTCCCCCCCCCCCCCCCCCCGAGAAAAAAAGTCTGGAATAAATACTGCCTGGGAAACCAAACTCAAGACTATCTAGACAAGCTTCTTACTCGACCAGCAATCCGTAAATTAAATTAACAAATAGCTCAGCACTTTGAAAGTACAAAGGGATATCTAGCCAACAAGTATTGTACTTATGGACTAGATGTACCTTTGTATAGCTGGTATTACTAATAACTAAACCTAACACAAGCCTTAACCTTAAGGGTTAAAGTATCGATATCGATGGCACCAGAAATCTTAATAAAGCATCAGAAATCCCTGAGAACAAAAACAAAACAGAATAAGGGGTAATTCGAAAACGACGTCACTTTTTTTTGGCGATTTTTACCTCCCCTCCGTCACATATCGTCACAAAAAGCCAGATCTCTCCCCCCCTAAATATGACGTCACACCTCAGCCTACAACCCATTTCAAACTTGCTGGTGAATTTGTTTAAACATCGATTTTTTTTTCTAAAATATTGACTGAGCTCGGTCAACTTAGAGTATTTTAATCGATTTCTATAACAATTTATTAAAATGGTATTCTAAAATGCGAAATGGCTAAAATTAAGTTTCTAGCATTACTTTTTTAAATTGCAAAAGTGTGACATCACATTATCTGAACCCCCCCCCCCCCCCCTCAATCACACATCGTCACAAAATAATCCCCCTCTTCCCCTTTCGAGTGTGACGTTATTTATGGACGACCCCTAACATTAAAAATATTATGTTTATATGTTAAAGAAACAATAGGCCTACACAGAGACATCAGTAATACTGGCGTTTGTCAAAGTCGATGTCCAGGCTATAACGTTGTCCCATCTGTGACATAAGCTAAGTGAATAAGCTCTAGAAGATTCTAGTCAGGCGTAGCCATTTCCCTACACTAAGGGATCTAACTCAATTGTTTTAACTTACTACATCGACGCGATTGTGTCTTTTAAAAGGCATATCACTCCTAATCATTAAAGCAATGTTTATTTTTGGAACACACTAGGGATCTAAGGATAACTAACACAGTACCATTAAATAATGTATACAATGACTCTCTTTACTCAAATAATTTTTGCCAATCCCTTTGGTTATGTTTTAAGAATTGGGGTTAGGGTTTTGTTTTATGTTGTGGTATATTATCTGTATTAGGCCTATCTGTAACGGTGATATTGGTTGGATACTAAAATAATAGGCTACAAAGCCGAGGCAACAGAGGAAAGAGATGTATTAGAATATTGCTATTTAGTTGTGTGGGTTTTTTTATTTTTTTTAAATTGTTGCTTGTATATAGGACTAAAACGAAAAGTCGTGTTTTAGATCTATGTGTGGGCATATCTGTTCATTCATTATTTCAATACATGCAGTGTCCCTGAGCCCACTCAGCTCTTATGGGTACCCAACTCTAGTACAGTCAGCTAGGCTCAGTTTTGATGACACTATCCTTTCAGGTGGAGGAACGGCGTGGCCTAACGATAGAACGCTAGACTTGTTAACCCGAAAGTCTCGAGTTCGATTAGTGTGGGTTTAAGTCAGTGGAACGTCCCTGACTCCACCCAGCTCTAATAAGTACCTAACTACATAAAGACAGCTGGGCATAGCTTTGATGACGCTTGTTTTCTTTCTAGTGCCGAGTTCATATTGACTCTACTTCATCTACCCCATTACCGTCTGGTCTGGGTGATGTATTTTACTATTTTATAATAATACTTACCAGCACATTTAAACCCTTTACAATTGTTTTTCAACATGATTTTATAATTTAAATTAAAATATTCCGTTTTATAAAAAAAAAAATATGTAGACATCCTACGTCATCGCTATGGCAGGATTAAAATGTAAGCTATCGTGTGGTTCAGTTAAGTTTTTCTCTAAAGATAGCGACGATGGCCATGTTTGTAGTCCGTCATAAAACCGACGAGTTAACATAATAAGCGCGGGGTTAATGCTTCACGGCCATAGCCTAGCATGTTCAACTAGGCGCCGCGCTGCGGTGGTTAAACCCAAGGTTTTTGCCGAGTTTAAGGTGGTGGGGTCATTAGGTGTGTGTGTGTCGTCTTTCTCTCGCGTTACCCCTCCCACCTCTCCTTTCATTGATAGCGTGTCTGGGTGATGCGGGCCTCACAGAATGAATTTAGGCTTTCTAACTTTTATTTGGCACATGCTTTTTTTTTTCAATGACATTGGCCCAGTTGGGTTGGGAGAGGCCAGATATTTATTGCAAGTATCGGCCAAAATTGCATGTTTTTGTAAATTTCGTTTTCTGAGTAGGCTTAAAATTTTTAATTATATATTCTAATTTAAATACATATTCGGAAATTAATAATTATAAGGGTTTAGTTACGGAAAATATAAAGAACAAAGAATAAATTCAGACAAAACCACACTGTCTTTTTTTTTTTTAGAGCCACGCATATTTTAAATGGTTAAAATAACACAGCTCTGTATTTTAAACATAATAATAAATCTCTCGTTTGAGAGTTTTCAGAGCTGATGCCATTAGGAGATGAATGAGTAAAATACTTATTTAAATGCAGCTCTATTGAAAACAGAAGTATCCTCATTCCTAATAACCGGTTGTTGTTGAGTTTTTTTTTTTTTTTTTTTTTTTTTGTGGTCCATGGTGCAAGAACAAGTCAACTTACTGTCTTCATAAAAATTACTTGTTTAAAACAGGAAAGTCGTTCACATTTGATGCAAATAGTGCTAGTGATTGTTATTGAACATTAGCTAGGCCTCGATTTAATCAATAGTTGACCGACAACAGTACTTACACATCTTTCGCCGCTATCCTAGTTTATATAAGTTTATATAGCAAACCTAATGGGCCAGAAGACCTGTTTTGTTTTGGAGTTTTGTTATTTTTACCGACAGGGCATCAGTATTGCATCGGGTTTTGTTTTTTAATACTCCATATCACTTTAAATGTTATGACAACTTTTAACACTAAAGCATGAATAGGGTCGTACTGTTATTGTTATAGTTAGGGCTAGGTTTATACCAATAATAATATATTTAAAATGAGGTTAGATTAGTGTTTATGTTGTGGCTATTGCGCTATGTTGGTGATCATAGATTACCGTAATGACTAACCCGTCTCGCCTATAACGCAACTTAGGCCTAAACCTAGTCCAAAATCTAATCTAAAGAGAAGAGTATGTTTCACTGTGTCGTTCGAAAAAGGAAAAAAAAATATTTAAACACTTTTATTTTTAAAAACAATATTGATATGACGATCTGTAGTTATAAAAAAAAGACAATTCCCATTATAAAAAAAAAGTCAGCCAGTGACTGACATGTTTCACAACAAGGTAATCGTCTGGACTTTCGATTGGCGACAGGAATTTCCTGTCCTCCATTTTATCTCCCTTCCTCACTTCCCCCCCCCCCCCCCTTTAATCTTCTCCGCTGTGTTTAACGTAGTGATCATACCGTCCAAGGCTACCTTTTACTTCCTTTTTAACGCCTTACAAAGAAATGCGTTAGCGATAATGAAAGGATAGGGAGAAAAAGAAGGGGGGGGGTACTGACATAACGGCTATCGACTACAAATGTGCAAAGAAGAACAAAATGTATTCGGGAATTAAAATTTTTCAGTCGATTAGCCGTACCAACATTGGTATCATCATATACGATATTTCAACCCCTATGACTCCTTTCCTAAATCAAACCCCCCAGATTAGCTATAGTTATTGGCGTAATGTGCACCTATAGACGTATGGCTAATCGTCAATACAGTAAGCCAAACTCGTTTTGGTCAACATTATCATTCCATGACACACTTTATTTAAAACTCTTCTCTGTCAGCTTAGCCTATTATTTAAACTTTCCAACCAATTATTTGATTGGACCGTTCGTTTTTATGCTAGGCCTAATAATGAAACAACTTTTCTGGCAAGAAGCATTCATTTGTGCTAAAGGGAACTAGCGAGGGCGGGGGCTGGCCTAGAGGCTATTGTTTGTCACTGTCCAACTGCAGGGCATCCATCTAATGAATAAATTTACTATTTTGGGATACGGTGGGCCATGTGTTCCTTTTTCACTAATGACATCCATATACATGTATATAAAGTAAAAACGACTATAAATGGAAGTTGTTTTTATTTGGAATATAAGGGATCTTATAAAATAAAAAAAAACATGACTTTTATGACCTACCCACTTCACTCTTCATATATGTATATATATATATATATATATATATATATATATATATATATATATATATATATATATATATATATGTATATATATATATATCAACGTCTCTGCATCCACCTCTCCTAAACCCATGAAACTGTCTAGTAAATCTACACACATTTTTTTTTCAATGAAAAAAAGAAAATAATTTATTTACAACTTCATTTCTAAGGTTTTAAATTTTTTTCTATTATTTTGAAATATTTTGTGTTAAAAGAATAATTTATAATCCAGTTTTGTCAACCTACTCGTCCAACTATTCTAAATAGCACAATGTTACAAAATTATAAACCACCACCTTTGTGTCACATGTTCAAGATTCTAAAGCGTAGCATCAATATTTTTAACAAGTTGAATAATATTTAATTGAAAAAAGTTTTATTCTATCAAGTTTTCAGTATACTGGACTGCTAGTATTAATATCTAATAATTGGTCATAAAATTATTAAAATGAATTTGCTCTTTTCGGCCAGTCTCCCTCCCTAAACTTCTGGACTTTGACTGGCGAGTGGACATCAAAACCTCTTCAGATGCTGTGGCCAGGATGTCAGTGCCAACTTGTATTTTAAATTTTCAGGTTTGTTTCATTCTTTTTTTTTTTAAAAACCCAACACCAAATTTCAGTTTTAACAAACTACATTATAGATGTAGACCAGGGGTCTCCAAACTACAGCCCGCGGAGATCTTTTTGTCCACGGAAAAAAATGTTTGTTAGAGATGGCTGAGGAACTTTGCTCAGAAAAATCATGAGATGCCTGGAAGAAACTGACCCCGAACTGAAATTTGATAGTTAATGCGGCCCTCGGACTGAAAAGTTTGGAGACCCCTGATTTAGACTATACTTTTTAGTTCATTAGAATTTCAACTCAAATTAAGCCTTTCTAGCATTTATTTAGGAAATTTTTGTCAAAATTAGGATAGGAAGTAGTCAAATTTCTATTAAAAATAATAGTTCTACTTCAATTGAAAAATAACATGTATAAAAATACTTTGTTTTTGTAAAAACCAGTTAACATGTATTAATTTTCCCATCCCTGAAGAAATAATTGTTTTAACTGTTTTAACAGATTTCTAGTAGTGAGAAATTTTCCCAAAATATTTCCCTATATTAGGAAAGAGTTTCTATTTCCTTCTGGTTTACCCAGCTTTATGAGTCATACAAAATTTACTATTTCAAGGGCATTTAATCTTCCTGCTGTATTATTTCCCTTAGATTCAAGAGAACAAGACAGATGTCAAAGAAACAGCACAGACAGAGAATATCAATGTTGAACTCAGCAAAGAGACTTTGGATACTATGCTGGATGGCCTGGGTAAAATAAGAGACCAATTGGCTTCTGTAGCTAATAGATAGAGTCTAGATGTTAGGGTGATGTTGTTATGGTTGGGCTTGGTGTAGACAACTGATAATTCAATTGCTGTTGATATGTAAAACCTTTAGAATTTTAAACTTTCTAAATAAGTTTTTAAATAATTTTGAAACTTGAGAGTTAAATTATGTCTTAAGTGAAGCTTTTGTTTTTATTAGATTGATCAAGTATAATCATGCAAAAAATACAAATCTAATTAAGTTTTGACCTTATCTTGTTTTGATGAGCTACCAACATGTATTTTCATCCTTCGCACTATCTAGCTACATGGTGTATGATGTAAGATTTTAAAATTAAATGTGATATGTACCATTACATTGCTGTTTATGCAAGCAATTTTGTCTGATCATAAACAGTTTTTTCTAGTTTAGGCTGTGGATAATTTTAACCTGTACAGATATTCTTGATGAAATACATTTTTTTTATTTTTTAAAAATTATTTGGTTAGTTTTTTTTTGTTAGACCAAGGGAAATAGCTTGTTACATTTTACATGGATTTTGAAAACCACATTGAAAATCAAAATTTAAAACTTAAGTAAATCTCCATGAATAAAATTATAAGAAAAAAAGTAACCGGCAAATGCATTTTTTCCCACGTTTTCTTTAACTTGCTTTCTCTGTGTCTTTGTTTGTTTGTTTGTCTTTCCAATCAAATCTTGCGATCGAAATTTCTGGCACTTCCCAGTTAGCTAGCGCGCTGAAATTTTCAGGGAAGCTTTCTTTTGGATGACCATTGAATATTCAATTGTTATTATTACTAAATTGATCAATGGAAACATTTTATTGAGCATTTTAGACCGCTATATAATCTATATATATAATTCTCCTCTGCTAGCCATTAGAAAAAAAACCAGCGACGCGTACCTCGCGCGCAGTGAAGCGAACGATCACATGTCGCCACAGGCTTAGGGGCAGAGAATTTAGCTTGAACCGAGTTTAAACTTACAGGAGGTAGGCCAGTTTGGGGGAGACGATATGGTCGAGTGGTTGGGCACACGAATGCTATCCCACTCGACACGGGTTCAAATCTATGTGTTCTAGTCAGTAACGTATTCAAACAACGTGTTTTTTACGAGTTGTCTTTTTACGAGTTGTCTTTTTACGAGTTGTCTTTTTACGAGTTGTCTTCGTTTACCCAAAAAAAGTGAAAAGATAAAATCGATAGCAAGATTTTAATGCAAACAAACAGACAAAGACTAAAAAGTAGAAAATAATAATCATTAAAAAAGTTTTAAAAAACCCACGTTTTCTGATTGAACTAAAAAGTAGAAAATAAACGCTATACATCACAATAATGCAAGCGATCACTCTACTATAAGCGATCAAAAACGTGGGGCGCCGTCATTTTCTTACAGTTTCTAATACTGTTGACTCTCTACAAGCTCCCTAATAAAAGTCAATAGTATTATCTAATCAATAGTAATATAACTTTTACTTCGGCGCCCCACGTTTTTCATCGCTTATAGTAGAGTGATCGCTTGCATTATTGTGATGTATAGCGTTTATTTTCTACTTTTTAGTTCAATCAGAAAACGTGGGTTTTTTAAAACTTTTTTAATGATTATTATTATTTGAAATGGCACAAAACTTTGGCAAGGTTTATTCACAGAATAATAAAAGTACGGTCACTTATTTAGCAAGTCAACATCTGATATACTTATCTTTCTTGGCCTCTAGTGCTAGATTATGCAAACATTTTAATTCAATAATTAATGTTGAACAGTCTTGAGAAAAAAAAATTTCTTTCAACCCATTCAGTGCAAAAAAATAATATACACAGGTGTGGGAAAAACTGCTAAATGAATAAAAGAAGCAAGTACACTAGCCAATAACCAAGCAAGAACAAAATATCTTACGGAGCAATCAATTCTACTTTTCTTCATAAGACAAAACTTTAAAGTTCTTGATCCTGCAAGATGATTCATTTTCCTCAACACTTTACTGTTGAATGTGGTATCATGGGTAATGAGGTAGATTTTTTTTTTTTTTTTTTTGGAATATCAATACTTTCTAACTTTTAAGTCTGAGCCACAACTCATAATAGGCCTAGTGGATGTTAATACCAAAAGTGTATACACATTTTAGTTTGGAAAACAAATTTATGCTATACAAAAAGTGATTTGTTAGAATTAACTTACAATATACAACAAATTAACTCTAATAAAATATCTGGCAATAGCTAACAATATATACCAATAATTTAGTGTAAGTAAACCATATTATTTCAAGCAGGTCACTTATAAATAATACAAGATTTTTGTCTTCTCAAAAACATAAAAATTAACAAAGACTAAAAAAAAAAAAACATCCTAGTACAAGAAAAGAAAGGAAACAAAAATTATTTTTGTATAATAAAGTAACATGATGAACACTTTAAAAAATAGGATTCAATAAGTAATAATAACTTTTCTTTCTGAGTAGTGATTGTTAAAATAACTACCTTAACTATCCAATTTCAAAAAGCATGGCACAATAAATACATAGCAAAGTGTCATGCTCAAAGTTGACTTAATATTATGCTTAAGTTTACATTAATTTTAAACGCCTCAACTTTATAAAGAGCTTACATGTTTATCCTTTGTAAAAAACAATAACAGGTGCTGCAATGTGGTTCAGATAACCAAATGACAATGAGCAGACTGACACAAGTATTATGCTTTTAAACAAAATCACTCAGAATATAACAAATTTCAAGGTCACTATATAAGATTTTTATCATTAATATTTGTCTCTGTAAACAATCCTTTAAGGTTATTTCTAAACGTATATTAGTAAAAAAAAACTATCAAAGTTAATGCCATTTAAAAAAATTTAAAAAGCCTTATTTGAAAACCCAATTATTTTAATCAACATTACAAAGGCAACAAGCTTTAACACATATTAATGAGGAATCTTTTTAAAATTCTACAGTATATTACAATAAGCATAATTGTAACCACATTTTGCTTTATACAAAGTATACATAAAGGCAATGTTTAAAATGCTTGCACCAAAGCAGGGTAGGATTATTTAACAATAAATCATACATTCATTTCAAATTAGGAAAATTAAACTATTTTAATTTTAAAGATACATATGCTGTATATAGGCCTACTCTGTAAGCTGAACATTTGTGGGAAAACTTGAAAATTTTGATAACTCAAGAATAAGCTTATGATGCTACGTGCAAGAAGAATTGTGTGATGTAAACATGACCATAACAAGATAAATACACATTGAGCATCCGACCATTAACTGCTGAACTATAAAAGTCTGTGTGGTGAGTTATTTACAACAGGTTAAAATATTAATCAATGGCTTCATAAACTATGAAATAAAATAGTAGTTACTCTAACTACAAACGTATCATGTTTATAGGATTAAGCCTGATAACCTCTAGTTTTCAGCCTTGTCTGAATTCCATAACAAAACTATCATCCTGAGTTTCTTTTGAAGATAACTCTTCTAGTAGTGTACATAGTCACATCCTGTTTAGTCAATAAAGCTGCTTTTTTTTGTGATGAAGATTCTTTAGATCATAAAGAATCACCCTGAGAGAGGTGAAAGGTGCTAGTCTTGTGTCTTTTTTCATGAGTTTTTTTTTTTTATTTTCCTAGTTCCAAACCATAAGTTTCTTTTAAATATAAAAAAAAACAGGTTTTAAAATATATCCCAGTAACTTAAACAACGACCCATGTGTTGTGAAATATGGGCCTCCAAGATGTGCTTCTTTGTCTTCATTGCCGCCCCCCCCCCCCCCTATCACAGTAACAAAATTAGCAGCTAATAATAATGCCCTAACATCTAGTAACCCACAAAATGGCCTTACTCCATATAATCTCTCTCAAGCCTTTCCTCCATATTTGTCTTCTTAGTTTTAATTCTCTCAAACGGCTTGGTCAGCATCCATGCAAGGTCAAGGTAATCCTTTGGCCAAAGGTATGGTGATCTGTTTTGCTTCATCCATGGGGGCACACGGTCAGCAGACATATTTCTGAAAAGAAGTGGAACAAACCGAGAAAACGGAGCGGTGACCCCAACATTAGCCCTGTCGCTGAGCTTCTGTTTATATTCCTCTTGCATTAGGTCGTAAATTAGTTTAGTGTGCAGCCGCCGCTCGTTTGTTGGGAAAGAGTTGCTGGCATCTGGGCAAGAGTTGCTGGCACCTGGGCTAGAGACGTCTGTCAAATACTTGGGTGAAATGCAGGCCAAAATGAAGTCAGCCTATAAATATATTTTTAAAAATATTTTTAATTTGGCAAATTATACCTGCATATACTAAAAAAAGAAATTACAGCTAAAGGATATATTGTTAAGCGAAAAGGTTTAAAATATACATCTACAAAAATTCACATTTTTATCTATAAATGTATAAATTACAATACTTTTTAATAAAGTAAGCTTGACACAATAATATAAATCTGACATATTTTCAAAAAATGTAAAAAATGTAAATATTGTTTTAAATAGAAGAATTAAAGTATCAAAACCTAATCATATGTTAATAAATTTTGTAACAAAACAAAATGTAAGTTATAACTGTAAAATGACCTCAATGATTTTATGCCTGATCCATTGCTCATTGGCACTGGGTGTTCTTGTCTTCTCACAACAATCCACACAACAGGCAAACTTGTTGTCTTGTAAAAACTTGCAAAGGGAGAGCACCTGTTTACCATGAGCTTCATCTTCATGGCTGTAGGTAACAAGCACTTTGATATTCATAAAGCCTGTAATAAAAAAATTATGCAGTGTTACCAGAATTTTTTGAAGAAAAGTAAGAGCAATTATAATCAAATGTACTAAAAATTCTTAGTTCTTCAAAAATTGTAATGCAATTTCATTGACTAGTTTGTATTAATTCAGAAATTAATATATATTTAACTTTTAACTATAATAATTGAACTTTCAATGCCAAAAATTAATTCAACTTGACCAAAGAAAATAATGATAAAAAGCAAAAATAATAAAAGCCAAACCGGCAAACCAAACAAAAGTTATAGAAGTATTTCATATAGATATTATGGATAATACACTTAGTACATATAGAAAAAGAAGCAAAGGATTATCAAACTTTTAAACATTTCAAAGTAAGGTAAAAATAAGGTAATATATAATTTCCAACAACACAGAAGAAGAAAAACAGCACAATTGTATAATTCAAAAATAGGTAAGACAAGCCAACAAAAATTGATACATTAGATCAGAGGTGCTGCTCACTGGAGAGGAATAGACAATTGCTGGGGGTTGGTGTGACAATCTTCAGAAATATACTATCTCAGCTTATATAAATTTAAAATATACAACTATAAATACAAAAATACTCATATCAGAAAAATGTTTTCACTCAGAAGACAGTTTAAAATGACATTTAAACTAAGTGCATTTGGGTGAAAATAAGCACTTAATGAGAGTGGGAAGGAGATTTTCTAGTTCATCAAGGGGCATGCAGAGACAAAACAAACTGCTGCATTAGAGAAATAAAAAGACTCACAAACCTTTCCTATACTCCTCAGGCTTCATATTTTGTGGCATGGAGGTAGATTTTTTTGAAATGGTAAGTGCAGCAATATCCTCCACTCCCCTCTCTTGTTTCACCTTAACCCTCATGGGAAAAGTTGAAGAAGGGTGAGACTTGCCTCCAGATGAGCCACTACTACTAGATGAGTAAGAGTTGAATGATTCAAACTCGCCCCTATCCCGCATCTTCCTTTTATCTGCATCAATCTGTTTTAAGAAGATAGTTAAAGAAATGTATTTTTTTTAAAACATAATAAAAATAATTACATGTGACATTGTTTTGGGAATTCAATTAAGATTTGTAAAACAAGTTTATAAAACTTAATGAGAGTAATAATTTTGAAATGTACTAAAAATATTTTCTTTAGTATAATAGTAAAATTAGCAGGATTCATTACATTTTTTACAAAAATGTATTGAAAAGAACTCTTGAGCAACACAATACCTTTATTATAATACTATATAATAGATTATTATTGTTATACAAAAAGTACATTTTTATTTTTTTTTCATTTACATGCATTAAAAAGCTTGTTACAAAGTTTTAAAATATTTTTTTTTATTTTCTTCATTTAGTATTACGTAACTGTGAAAATACAGGGTTAAATTAATATTTTTTAAGATAAATAGTATTAAAAATCTTTATTTATTGATAGTTCTTTAGACAATACCCTAGACTAAAAAAGTTAGCTTTGTGTCTGATGTACTTTTTATTTTACCATTATTCCCTCATTTAAATCACTCCACATTAGTACTACAAAATCATTAGTAACATGTCTAGTCTAAAAGATAAATTAGATATCTCTACTATTAAATTATTTCTCCTTTTTATTATCAAATACCATCCTCTTTTTCTGTTACTGAGACATTAAAGTCTTTAAACTGATTTTTTAATAACTAATTAAAAACCCAATCAGATTGATAAATACATATATTTGCATTGTCATAGTAATGCACTTATCTATAAAGAAATTGATCATTAGGAAAGGGTCATTTTTTGGCTAAAAGGTTTAACCATAAACCCAATCACTCCTAACACTGTGACCTAAGAAAAACTTGTAACGCAGTACGTTAAACTTAAGCCAGTTTTAACCGCATTTCTACAAAAACATAATATTAATTTCAAAGCAACAAACCTTTTGGTCTGCCACCACATTTTTATATTCACGAGTAGGTTTGTATTTTTCAGGAAATTCTGCCATATTTTTCAAGTGTCTCAAGCTACTCTCCGTCCTTCCATTAGCATCCTGCAACCGATACTGCGCCTGGGCATTATAGCCTACACTGTTTTCATAGCTTAAGTCCCTAAATTCAGAAGAATGATTTGCCGTCAGGCCAGAGTACCCCACCTGATTCCTATTTTTCGACATTGGGTTCGGAGCACAAAATCCATTCTGGTAAACTGGCTGGCTAGCCTCGCCATTATTGTTGTTGTTTCTGTTGGTCTGTTTCAGCTTCTTTTCGCCCATAGCACTGACGGGTATGTTTGAGTCATCTGAGTGCTGCCTGGCTATTTTTTGCCTTGACACTAGACTGTCGTTGCTGCTGTTGTTGCTGTCAAGGTTGCTGTTGTCATATACACTTATATTGTTGGGCAATCGAGCTGGAAGTAAATAAATGCTATTGGATTTTTGTTGTTGTAGAGATTAGACAAATAATTACTAATAACATGCTAGGTAACATACTAAATAAGTAATAAACTTGTACAGGTAGCTTTTAAAATGGCTTCAAGTTGACGGCGTTAACATGTTTTACATTGTTGTTGATTTAATCCAACATTAAAATGCATGATTTCTTTATTTAGACAGCAGTGAAGATATTTTATTTACACACATGACATTTTATCTACTGGGAGTCTTCCATAAATGACGTCACAGTAATGGGGGGGGGGGGATTCCACAATTTTGTGAAGGTGTGTGACGTTGTGATGTCACACTTTAGCATTATAAAAAAGCAATGTTATAAAACAAATTTTGCCGTTATTTTGCGTTTTAGAAAAATGTTTTAATAAATTGTAATAGAAATTTATTAAAATACTCTATGATGACAGAGTTCAGACAAGATTTTGGAAAAATTCAACTGCAATTTTGACTGAGGTTGTAGGCTGAAGTGTAACGCCATTGGGGGGGGGGGGGGGGGGTGTGTCTGGCTTTTGGAGAGGAGGGTGAAGGTAAAATTATTTATGGATGACCCCTTGGGTAAGTAAATTTAACATTTTAAAATTGGAACTGTCTAGGTCTAGATAATTTATTCTCTGGACAACTTGTTTGCGGTATAGATACACAAAAATGAAGTAATATACCTTGAGCTCTTAAATTGTGAGTAAAATCTACAGGTCCATCATCCATTCTTTCATCTCGGTTGAAACTGTGAGGTGCTAAATTTAAACTATCTGCTCCCAATTCTCCTGTTCATTAAAAAATGGAATAATCAAGTTTGGCCTTTTTTTTTAAATATAAAAATTTTTTAAATATAAAAAACAATGATGCACCAATTGTCAAAAATATAGTTGAAGCAGCTCTAGATATGACCTGAGAGGGGACATTTTTTACAGGTTATTTATTTTTAGTACTTGTAAGGATGTCAGTCAAGCATGAAGAAGCTGTAATTTTTTCTAGTTTCACTATACTAAACCAGGCCATAACCAAAAAAAATATCCACATCATACTTTTGCCTCATAAGAGCTTTTATACCAAAAATATTTATTTTTCTCATTAAAATATAATATAATTAATCTTTTTAACTAAAACTAATTTTTTAATATTATAATTATTTACAGACCATTAGAAACAAATATCAGACTTATTTTTTCTTACCAGGATGGTATCCAGCAGTGCCCTGTGTTTGAACCCTGGAGAGGTTTTTATTCAGCCCATGGTTGTCATTGTAAGGCCTGAAATTAGCTGGACTCTTGGACAATCCTGGGACTTGTTGAGTGCTTCTGGTGTTGTTATGGCAACACTGTGAGAAATGTTGATGTGCACACTGTGCACCCTGGGGCACTGGGTTGAGGTTTCTATGAAAGAAAAAATAATTTCTAGTAGCAACACACTAGCACTGTTACAATATTTCTGGAAGAAAAACAAAAAAAATATTTAATTAATGCCTACGGAAAAATAATAACAGTATGTAAACATGGTTTTAAGAAAGAAAGATAATCTATTAAACTTTCAAAAAAACAAAATTAAAAAATTTTTTTTTAAAAATGTTTTCTTTAAAAAATAAATTTGGTTCATGATTTCTTTGTAAGAAAAAGTAGTAATAGACTTTTATTGCATCATAATATTTTAAAATGAATTGTCATCCTCACAACAAGAATCTATAATACTAAGTGTAGGAACTATTAAACCTTAATTATCTTTATTTAATTAAACAAATGATCTCCTACCTTGAATGTGCATACAAAGGAGCATGAGGTAGGTGTTGGCATGGCTGCGACTGGTGCTGATAAGATGAACATCCCATGGCTAGGTGTGTCCCAGAGTTCATAGGGCCGGGGCAGCTGGCAAAATGACTGCCACAAGGCTGGGGACTCATGCACGCAGGATTAGGGTAGGGGTACCCATTGTTGGACCAGGGCATGTGCCCACAAGTCATTTGACTCATTGATGATGGAACATTCTTAGTCCAGGCCTCCAGTATGCCTAGAAGGTTTTATAGTTTTTGTTTATATTAGCTGGTTTAATCATGTAACAATAACAAGAGTACATTAATCTGATGTATGTATTAAAAAAAAATTTTTATTCTCGCAATTAAAAAATCAGAACTAATCCAGTTATTTTACTGTCATGCGCTATTTTAATAGCATTTACATATTGTAGATATGTTATGTATATCTTACCTGTTTTGGCATTGTCTAATATTTCAAGACAGTCATGTCTATTCATATCTTCCAAAAGCTTGTATAATTCATTAAATGATGCATTTGGTTTCATTTCATATTCCCTCAATAATACACTTGTATTGTTATCCTTTTCTGATTCAATATACTGAAAAAAAAATCAACAAAATAATATTTTATAAAATTATGCCATATTACAATATAACAAAATTATAAACAAGCCCTTTTCCTACCTTCTTTGTTTTATATACTATGCAATCCCTTAAAACAAATGCAACTTACAGCAATCTCACTTGTGTTATATCCAAGTTTATGCGCCAGCATTCTCCAGTCATTCCCCGACAATGTCATCACAGGGTTAAGCTTCTGAATGAGCTCCTGGCGAACACTGAACGGGACAAACTTCCAAGGAATTATCTCACTCTCATCTCCATCACTGCCGCCCCTCTTTAATTCAGTTGATGTCCCCATCTCTGGTCAACAAATTCCCCCAAGGGATGGGAGGGAGGGAGGAACTTGGGGTGGGGGACAAAGTGTTTTTAAACTAAATTTAAATTTATAAGCAGGGAAAGGGGTTGTAAGGATTTCTTTATGCTGTAGCCTCAAGCCAAAGTCAGATTATAACTGGTGGAGCTAGTTATAAAGAAATTGTTGATTTCAAGTCTTTTCAATCAATGTCAATTCAGTTGATGCTTTAATGAATGCTGGAAACAGAGGGACGAAATTATTTGTTTGCCTGGGGTGGGGGATGGGGGTATGTTAAAACCTTTAGGATATAATACTCCCCAGTTGAAGAAAAACTGAAGTCTTTAAAGGGATGATGCAAAAGTGTTTCACCTATCAGAGGTGAAAGATAGATGGTGAGAGGGGGCAGCCTCAGAGGCAATAAATAACTGCCAGCCTTGACAGGTGTCAATCAAAGGTAGACCCAATGGGCATGGTGATTTACAGATAAGCATAGTTCATGCTCTGTGCATAGCATCACAAGATGTCAACAATCTGAAAACAGAAAATAAAGCAATTGTTTTGATGAAGTTTGATTAAAGCACTTTTAGTTGTACTTTTCTGTTGTACATTAAGCTCATAATTTCTGTATAGTTAAAGGAAAAGTAGGAAAAAATAATGAAGAGTCAAAAGAAAGTAGTTGCACTATTTAATGTGAAACTAATGAAGGATTTTTCAAAACTGTAATTTTAATATTGTTAACTGAAAAAAACTGTTCTAGAATTTAGAGTTTAGGATCTTATTACAATTTATCATACTTTTTAATAAAACAGTTATAGGCCTAATGGGTTGCTTATATTGTTACTTATATTATTTACACACATTAATACTAATAGTTTCGCTGTCTGTCTATCTGACAAGAACGCTCTGTCTGACAAGAACGCTCTAGAGAAAACACAAGGAAATTAAAAACATGCATAGTATTTCGAAAAACGAAGTATGACGTCGACACATTTAGCACAGAGTAGAAAATAATCTCAAACCGGAGAGTAAACATTGAATAAAAAGAAAATGTTGTCTTATCTAAGTGGTTTGCGTGAAGAGTTTCTTTCATACAATTCTTCGGGTAGGGGCGAAGCCCCACCCCCGCGTAAGAACGTCTGAGCCCCCCCCCCTCCCTAACTCAAAAGAAATTTCCTCATCGATACTCTATAATAAAATTACCGCCTAATTAATGTGTCTAATCTAAAAAGTGGTTTTCTTGCAATGGGACGGTAGACATGTTTTTTTTTGGGGGGGGGGGGGGGGGGGGTGGAGGGGTGGGGGGGGGGGTGGGGGGTGTGTGTGTGTGGGGGGGGGGGTGGGGTGGGGGGGGGTGGGTGGGGGGGGGGTGGGTGGTGTGTGTGGGGGGGGGGGGTGGGTTGGTTTCAGTGTTTCTTTCAGACTTTTTCCTCCCCGGAGAGGGGGTGGGGGTACTTGAAATTTTCGGGGGCGGGGGTAGAATTTTCTGGGAGGGGGCGGACACTGGAAAAAGTATATAATTATATTTCGTTGAATGGGACGGTAGACATGTTTTTTTTTTGGGGGGGGGATGGAGGGGTGGGGGGAGGGGTGGTGTGTGTGTGGGGGGGGGGGGGGGGGGTGGGGGGGTGGTGTGTGGGGGGTGGGTTGGTTTCAGTGTTTCTTTCAGACTTTTTCCTCCCCGGAGAGGGGTGGGGTTACTTGAAATTTTCGGGGGCGGGGGTAGAATTTTCTGGGAGGGGGCGGACACTGGAAAAAGTATATAATTATATTTCGTTGAATGGGACGGTAGACATGTTTTTTTGGGGGGGGGGGGGGGGATGGAGAGGGGGGGTGGGGGGCGGTGTGTGGAGGGGGGGTGGGGGTGGGGGTGGGGGGTGGTGTGTGGGGGGGGGGGGGGGGGGGTTGGTTTTAGTTTAGAGAAAAGAGACAGCACTATCAGCCTAGCGCCCGTTGTACCCTTCCTCAACGGGCCATTTTTCTCGTTGATTAATAATACTGCACCTATTGATGAAAATAAATAGGCCTACTTAAATACTAAATGTTTATCAATTTAATGATGCAATCAGAGAAACATCCCACACAAATTAGATTTGTTTTCTGCATGTTAATTACAGCAATGCTGATTTCAAAGCAGATATTATTATAAGTCACAAGTAATTTTTAACTGAGACTAAAATATTATTGTATACCGATAGATGAATTTAAAACTCATAGAACTTGACTATTTTGCAAGTCATTATAGATAACATTGCATATATCTCTATTAATATTTAGTTCAGTAGGAAAACATATTTGTAGATATTGTAATTACATATGCATTTGTGTACAATTTTGTACTAGAATTAATAAATATTATTGTAAAAATAAATTAAATCCACAATGTATTTAAGTGCTGTTTAATAGCCATGTCATTATTAAGCCCTTTAATTAATCTTCACCAAGGCCTAAGGCACTGTTTGTGTTGTGAATAAAGTAACTTAGTTGTCATTTTAGCTGCTAGTTGTTGGCAATAAGCTACACAACAAATGCAGAGCAAAAATCAATAGTCCTCAATAGTCAACATAAGATAGCAATCAAATAAAATATTTCATTATTATAACATGGTTACTAGCAGGTAAGATATAATTGTAAGACATGTATTGTAAACAGTTACTGCCGCTAGAGTTCTATTGCTACATATACTACTATGTAGGTCTATCTAGATATATAAAAATGCAAATATGTCTATATGTATGTCTGAAAGCTTGGGTAGTTGTTGAGAATGCTCACTGGAAGGTTTATGCAATAAAAAAAATTTCAAATGCGGAGGGACAGTCTGTGCAATTTGGCACCCATAGACAGTTCCCTGCGGCTATCTTAGTACCTGGGATTTGTTTATAGGCTCAGCTATAAACACCATGATGCCTTTCTTTTTAAAGAGTGCCATGCACTATGGATACGTTTGGTTATTACATTCAATGACTAAAATGAACCAGGGGCTTGCGGCAGTATAATCTGTAGCTCCCAAGAGTGCCTCGTTGACACCCTTGACATTGATACACTTATTTAAAGATTTTGGCTCACATAGCTCATAGACAAACCCGCATACTAACAAACAAGATCCTAGAAATATATTGCAGGCTTTATTTACATGATTTGTAAATAAATATAGATCTAGGCTAGAAACTAGAAATTAACTTTAAACTTTAAACACTCAGCAGTGCTTGAGAGTATGATTGATTTGCTACGCTTCATATAATAATAATATATAGATCTAGATTCTAGATCTAGATAAAAAGCGGTCATCTGTAAATTGGAGCGAGGTAAAACCTTAGTTTAGCGTCGGTTATTATTCCGGAATCGTATAGCAGTAAAAAACAGTAAAACAATGCCAAACAATTCACCGGAAGTACTGTAAACCATACTTTATTTGGCGTCATCTTTTATTTTTATACAGAATGTTTAAAATTTGGATAGATTTATTTTTGTAATCATTTTTACATTTTGTAATCATTTTTACTATTTTCATAATCTAGATCTTTTTACTTGGCATAGCAGCTAGATATCTAGCTAGATCTAGATCTAATTAATTAATTTAATTATTGGTCGCAAATCCGCTGCAAGCCAAAAACATTAAATTATAACATTTGACTTCATTAGCCTATTTAATCTAGATCTATATTAATATATGTTTTTTTTTTGTTTTTTTAGATCTACTAATTTAAATCTACTATTAGGCCTATATTTATTCTTGTTTGCTTTTGTTGATTAAACTTTAAAAAATTAAAACAATTTACTACAATCGACTTTCAATTTATTTATATTTCAATGGTCAAATAAACCAAGGTTTACCGTAACTCTAGTTACCGAAACTCAACAAACATTACCCGATAATTTCCGACGCTAAACTAAGGTTTTACTTTTACCGGAGCGATTTCCCCTGAAATTCTCACTGTCACTATGATTTACCAAAAAAATATTTAGATCTAGACATAACTTACTAACCTAAGTCCCTAAGGAGGCCTAGACCTAAGTTACTAAGTTAACAATTTTTTTGGTTCAACCAACCAATGGTTGCATCTGATTTCCTAGCATCAAGTCTTCTCTTCACACTACGTCACTACACTCAACTGCACTACTACAGTATCTTCGGTAATCTATCGTTTTAGGTACGTAAAATCGCCCGCGACTAGTAATGTGAAAAACAGGTGACTCCTTACATTTTAATAATTATTTCACATTTTGAGGAGGATTTATGTTTTGAAAAATACAAAAATGTTTCCTTGTTTCATTTATGTACCTGTTTCTAAACAATTGAATTAAAACTTTTCAGTAATAAATGAACACCAGCGATGTTTCCAACAGATGCAACCATGCTCATTTACTATAGCAGCCATTTTGTTAAAGTTTTATTTTTATAGACTTATAGCGCAAGATTCAGGCGGAAGTCACTCTATTTTACAAATGGCTGCTGTTTATATAGCAAATCTTGCTTGCAGACACTGCTGTTTAAAGTTAATTTCGGGCCTATATTGATATATTTAGCCATTGATTTAGGTTTATTATTCATTTATCTATAATATTTGACACAAACATATCACAATATACTTCTATTACAGCCTTGACAATGAGGTAACGTTTTCGTACATTAATAGCCGCGGGCGATTTTACGTACCCAAAACGATAGATTACCGTATCTTCATATCTTGCTTTATATTACTTTATAAATTTCAAACAATCATACAATTACAACGTTATCCTAGATCTACTTACAAAAAAAGTGTGCACATTTAGCTCACTCTATGTTCTAGCAGCCGGTCTCTAATTCTAATTTCGTTAACAAGCATTATTTACACAAGAACAAAAACAACACCCAACGGCCGCCATTTTCAGGATATGTCACTTAATATAATCTAGATGTAGGCTAGATATCTAGGTATTCTGGGAATAGCTACACTACTATAGGCCTAGGAACAGTCTGAGTCAACTAGATTTGGGTCATTCACACTCATTCAGCTTCAATGTTTCGGTTAATTTTTTTTTTATTTAAATGCTTTATTTAATACAGTAAATGTTACTTATTGACATCAAAATTCAAACGAACAGACAAAACATGTAGGCCTACATCATAATCTAGTATCCTTTTGTATAACACATTAATCAAATGTCAGTTCTCGCTACTACTCCTGTTCGTTGATGACCTCAGAATTATTTTTTTTAATTAGACGACAACGTAGCAACACTAACTTTGTATGTATCCAGCCGCCAGCCCTACTTGGAAACTATCATATTCTAGCCTATGGTTTTTATTTCTTTCAACATTGGTTTTATTGGATCCTCGGTTATCTCCCCCCTCCCCCCCACCACCTTCCCCCCCCCCACCACCACCACCTTTCCCCCCCCCCCCCTCCCCACCAACAAATTAAAATGTCATTTTAGCTGCATTTTTGCATTATAAATAGTTTGAGGGAGGGGATGCAAATCAAAAAGTTTTTTTTTGGGGGGGGGGGGGGGGGGGGTGTGCAAATCAAAAGTTTGAAAAATTTGCTCCCAATGGGAAAGCCAAATTGTAAGTTTGTCCCCAGGTGCCGGGCCCTACGCCTCTGCTAACTCATATCAGGGAAATTAAAGGCGGCTGGGCATAGTGCTTACCCCAAATCCCTTCTGATGCCAAAATTACAGAAACATGTGAATTATACTTCACTTATCTTAGCCCACAGACCGCCAGGTTTGAAAAGGGAACTTTACTTTTTGTATTTTACTTTAATGGCGTAAAATTACAGATACCTGCACGCTTTGTTTTTTAAAACACCCCATGACAAAATGCCTCATACGCCACTAACATACATAGGGCCTACATAGGCCTATCTTTTGCATTTTTTAAAACTTACTAAATAGGATGATAAATAGGTCCATTTTCTTTAGTATTATGAATACTTGAGGGAGATGGGCTATAGAACTCAGTGACGCATTTTAGTGTGTATGACTACGTTGCTGTGTTGGAGCCTATAAATATAGTGGGGGGGGGGGGGTGGATAAACCCGGTTTAAAAGAGTGACGTCATTTATGAATAACATCTCTCCCCCCCCCCCCCCCATCCACTCCCCCACCGGCATTCTAACATGTATTGTTAAAACGTTTGGAGCATTTACGGTCTCACCGTTGAGTGTTATATAGGTCAACGAGTCACTCACAACTCATCCAAAGTCTTCAGTACCAGGATCGGCCATGAACACATATTACCGACGGTTCACATCGTTCGCACTTGGTAAAGTAAGTGGGTAAACTTCAAGAAGTTCACGCGGCCCTGTTCTATGAAATGAAGATTTCTTACCGACATTATGCTCGTGGAGGGGGGATTTGCAACTTCCAAGGTTGGGGTTTTAAATTCTATTCGAGGGGGAGGGGAAGGGGGGCTTATATAAGAGTAGTTCTTCTATGTTCTTAACTGTGCTATTAGATGGGATTTTTCTCCAACAAGATTAAGTATTACTCGTAGACTCCGATTTCAGCCTACTTTTCTTTCTGGTTTTGCTTCTATAGCCTTTGTCCGCACACAATCAATCTGCATGGTAGCAGTTGTTTGATTTTGGAGTTTTCTCTACGAGATATGTTGCTGTCCCCAGATAACGAGTCTCATCTGCCGGGGTCCAAACTCGGTACTCTCCCACAGGAAATGATGACATAGCCCAACGCTACGAGATATAAAAACCACAACTACATTCGTGTGCATTATGGCGCCTACATTAGTTTTAAAGAGCACCATATAAAATGGTGACATGACATTGTTGTGTTGCATAAGGCCTGATATTATCTGTATATAAATGTATTAGTATTAGCCTGTTTAACTGCATGTCTAAAGAGAACGCGCACAAAATTTACAACAATAAAGAGGTAGAGGCGTTGTTACTTTGCTATATTGTTGTTTATGAAAGACTATTTGAGATTTGATTTTAATATTGTGTTACTTAGTATTTAGGGGAAGCGTTTATACACATGAGTCATGTCACTGTCCTTGATGTTGTGTATCCTTTTTAAAAATCTAAAAAAAAAACGTAACACATACGTTTAAAATAATTAATGAAATATTTTTAAAAAGATTCGTTGAAGATAGCGTCACATTCAAATTTTTGTACTACTCAAAACTCAATATTAGGGGTCATCCATTTTTGACGTCCACAAAAAAGTTCGGATTTTAGACCCCCCCCCCCCCATGTGGACCTCCACAAAAATTTAGTAGATCTCGCAAAACTTACTACCAATTTACTATTTCAATAACATGAATTGTGTACCTAATAACTGATAACGTTTATTATTATGCCTAATTATCAAAAGTAGAATCTAGATGTGTCTTTATTTAGCACGAGCAATATCGTCTTAATTTCACTTTTTTGCGTGCAGGATACGAGTTTTTGTTTGTTTTAAAATGTTAGTGCTTCGACCTTAAGTTCAACATGCGGACGTCCGCATAGGCCCGACCCCCCCCCCAGTCCACACGCGTCTACAAAAGTCGATTTTTTACCCCCCTCCGGGTGGACGTCATAAATGGATGACCCCTTAATGTTGTTTTTTTTTAAATTTTATTTGTTTCTGCAACCCTTCCCACTCCACCAAACAGAACGCCTGGAGTCCTCGTATTCCTGTTGTCTGGACCAGATCATGGACAGCAAGGCTACATCGACCATGGCAGGACTTACAAGAGCGTCTTGGTCGCCGGTGTAGATTAAAACCTTGTATTTAAAACCATCAAACATTCGATTTCGAAAAATTTCTGCCAGGTAACCTCCAAAAAATGAATTCGTTATCTCCAACGCAGAGGCGTAGCGACCCTTCCCGGCGCCCGGGGACAAACTTTTCGATTTGCACCCCCCCCCCCCTCAAACTTTCGATTTGCATCCCCCCTCGAGATTTCGATTTGCACCCCCCTCAACCTTTCAATTTATTTTTCCAACCCATTTTGGCGCCCCCTAAGGTCGGTGCCCGGGGACATATGTCCCCTCCCGCCCCCCCCCCCTCGCTACGCTACTGCTCCAACGTGAATTAGAGATTTTATATAAGCTGAAACCATAACTGTAAACCGTTGGCCAGCAAGATAATAGATACTGCAAGACCTTGCTCATACGGGTCAAATAAAGGCGATCCAAGATAAATACCCGCTAAAGGGAGATATGATCTGCCAGCTTTGATTTCTAAATGCAAATGGTAAGCAAATACCGGCACGTACTTTCCGGCATAAGACTTTCCGCCTATGTATAACTCTCGAATTTGGTATTCAGGAAATAACAGATAAAATTGTTCGATGAACTCGTATAGATCTTTAGAATAGCCATCTTGGTCGGTTCTGTATCCAGCAATCCCACTGTCTGAATAGCTGTAGCCGACGCCGACGGGGTTGTCTATGTATAACATTGACATAGTCTCTGTCCACGAAATGTTGCTACGCTCGTACCACTTGTCCGTAAGTCGCATGGGTCCGTTCTCATAAAACAAACCCAGTGAAGAAGTGAACTCCGGACCCTCCATTTTAAGCCAAACCACGAGCGGAGATTCAGACCCGGATGTTGAAGGAAAGAACCAGAAAAACAAATGGTTTCCGAGTATCTCGTCTACGGTGATGAACCCAGCGTGGCTGGTCGGTATGACGGAAGTCTCAGCTTCTACAAGGCTGAGTTCCCGCGCCAGTTCGATTTGATCCCTGCAGATCAGAGGCGACAGCATCAGTTTCCGGTTCACGGAACCGTCGGCAGGCAACAGGAGATAAACTAAGTAGCTTAAACTAAGCAAGATAACCGCCATGGTGAAGAGCTGAAAAGTAACCGGAAATTTTTAAATGTATTACCTAATTACACGAACTGTATTTTTGTTTCAATTTAAACACATATATGCCATATACCTGTATGTTAAAATTAAATATACTTAAAATAATAGGCCTACGTTAATATACTAAATTAAGAACGATTTTTTTCTTCTAATATTAATTTAGGCTAGATCTACATTTTACATTGTAAAATGGAAAACAAATCTAATAGGGTCCACAACCTGGGTGTACTGGTTGTATCCAAGAGGCACGGACATTTTTAAAATTGGCTCCCAACACCAGATTGTAATTTCACTGTGCATTTTTTGTCCATTAAAGTTTGAATTTTACGCAATGATATGAAGGAACGGAAACAGTAAAATGGGGAAATACCTAGAATTTATTATTTAAAAGTCAAACCACTAATAAGACTATTACAGCACTGCTTCTGAGAGACCACCAAGATCTTTTCCCGAGGGTCCACCGGAATTTTTTTTCCGGTAGACTGGCAGGCCAGTCCACCCCTGCCTACAACATAGTCTAATGAAAAAAAATAGCGTGATTAAAGTAATATTAATAGATATTAAAAAATAGTAGCTTATATATTCTACCTGTTCCGCACACAGAAGTCTGTTCAACAGAATGGTACAGCGTGGTCAGATGTATAGAGTACGGTTAGTAACACGAAAGTCTTGAGTTCGAATCCCGGACTTGAATCCTGAGTCCACCCACGTTGGGGAAAGTAAAAGCGACTGGGATACTGTGACCTCAGTGGCACGCTGTCATTTCCTTTGTCACCGAGGTTATAGAAACAGCTGGGCTCTATTTTATCAGCCCCGTGAACCCCAAGAACCAATAATGTGTTCTCTTAGTTTTGCTGTATATAGATCTACTTACTCATTACTGTTTAGGTCTAGTCTCTGATGTTTGCAACAAGTCCAAATGATTCACCTCTAGATTATTCCATTTCAATGTTTTTTGTTAAGTCTAAATGTTGTTTGAGTTTCGAATGGTTCGCAAAGTCATGACTTAAAACAACTTTGCACAATTCGCATTTTGGCTTCTCTATGCCTTTTCTAGTTAAGTTTGTAAAGGCGGTTTTTATTGTAGGCCTAGGTAGTTTTGGTTTTAGGTTTAAGTTGGCGACCTATCAGCAGTAAAGAGTTTCTTCCGGGCATGTCCCCCCCCCCCCCCCCCTGAACGTCGAATTTATATATTTATATAGTAAACATATACTTTTACTAGTGTCCGCCCCCCCCCCCCCGTCCCCGTCCCCGGAAAATATCAAGTGCCCCCGGAGAAAAAAGTCTGGAAGAAACACTGCAATGTGCAACCGTATGAGAAAACCACACTTTGGGAACCCGTGCGTTCCTTTCAGTAGTTTCAGCCAAGATCTATCTAGATCTAGGCCTAGTTACCAAGGTAGATATAGATAACTTCAAAATATAAATTGTGAATCTAGGCTTATATTTTTACGAACCACGGAACAACATTCATTCCAAAAGTAGCAAGTCTGGAGATAAAATTTTAAATCATTATTAATTTATTAATAATGATCCAGTGAAAGTAAAATGGGATGAAAACAAAGTTGGATTAAATAAAGAGCACATTAGAACTTGTATTTAACATATATTTTTTCTACCACTGCTGATTTCACTGATTTTTGTTTGTTTTGTCGCTTGATTAACAAGCCAAATGCCAAATACTGCCAAATAAATAAAATAGTAATAGACCGGTGTCTACGCTACGGGTTAAGTAAGTAAATTATTATTATTATTAGGCCTAGATTCTATATATGCTAGTATTACAAGGCCTGACATAAATGACAAATTAAATAAGAATAGGCCAAGGCCTAGAGCCAGCTAATAGGCCTACTTAGTTTACTACTTAGTACTTAGATCTACTACTTGTACTTAGTACTTACTACTTAGTACTAGTACTTAGGCCTACTAAGTCACTAACTATTATAACTAAGTAACTAGTTACTAGTAATTAGACCCTATTTCTTTTAGTTTTAGACCTATAGACTAGAGACTGATCTAACTAATTTAATTAATTAACTATCATTCTGGTAGTAAAAATTGCAAAAAATCAATGTTTGAAAGTGAAATTCTCATTGTTTTTCATAAGGCCTTGCTGGCCTAGTTTGGGTGGCAATACTTACCCAGTTTTTTTATTTTTCGAAACCATCTATGATCTTGCTGGAGAAAGAAAATGGAAAAAAAAATTTAGATCTAGTTCTACTCACCTTCTTAGCACTTAAATCATATAAATGTTGTGGTGGTATCTTCATTGAGAATTTAGAACATAGGCATTTAACACTAGACATCAACATTAATGAAATTCTTTTTTCAGAACAGTAGTCCCCCCCCCCCCATAGGAAGATGGACATTCAAGATGCTGTGCCTTGTAATGTTAGCCAAGACTTGCTCAAGAGTCACAAATGGAGTGGTAAACAAATAAATGAATAGTGTTTTTTAAAACAACATTGTTTCCATTTCTTTTCCTTTTTCTTATTAATTGTAAATTTAAAGGGGATTTCCTCCAACTGAATAATTACAACTTGTCAACATGTTATGCAGCATAAAGCCAGCTGATTCCAACTTTTGCTAGCTTTACTTACTGGATTAACCTCCATAGCATTGTCCACCCAAGTCCAATCTGCAAGATAGCAGTTGTTTTATTGTGGAGTTTCCCTCCTAGATCTAGATGTGTTTCTGTCCCCAGCTGAATCCTCTCTTCTGCCTGGTGGTCAAAACTCTGGACTTTTATGCTCTCTTGGGGTCGGCAAGGTCGAGTCGGTAAAGCTCATGTTTGCTAAACCGAAAAGTCTCGAGTTTGAACCCTCGGGCAGATGAGGCTCGTTAGCTGGGGACAGCCACTCTTCTAGGAGAGACAACTCCAAAATCAAACATCTGCTGCCTTGTAGTTTGTTCTTGGTTGGACAAAGACTATGGAAGCAAATCCAAAAAGAAAAGCAGGCTGAAATCGGAGTCAATGGTCTCAGTGGCGCATAACCGGTTGACACGTATCCTTAATTGTGATGGAGGCATGGTCGAGTCGGCAATAGCTCATGGTTGATAAATTCGAAAAAATCTCAAGTTCAAACCATCTGGCAGATAAGGCTCGATCCCTTCCAACACTAAAAATTAAGAACGAAGAAGAAGAAGAAGTATGCTCTCTTGTCTGAGAACACGGTTTCCAAAAACAGTATCCAATTAAATTTTCTAGTCAGTAGCACAGTAGGATTTTAGCAGGGGGGTGGGGGGGGGGGGGAGGGGGGTTGGGGGTCTAAAATTTCTCCACATTATATATGTAAATATGTATTTATATGTATATATATATTTACAGATGTTCCATGTTTTTTAGAAATGTAAAATTATGGTTTTATGATATTTTCCACTTAGAAACTAAAAGCGTTTAAATTGACACAAGTGTGCAGCTGTCAGTTGCTGTATGAGCAGGAAATAGTGTACCTTTTTCTAGTTCCATTGAAGGTCCTGATGTTCACAATCTAATCTCTATCTTAGTGTTATTTTTCATCAAGGCTTTCACTAGCCAATGTCTTGTTGCCTTCCAAGCAAGCTTCTTGAATTGGGCTTGTATTAAAGTGTTCATTTTTTATCCACTGGTGAATTATTAACCCAGGCTGTCTCACCAGAACCCCATTGGCCAGTTTTCAGGATAGACCTGGGCTGGTATATTCTCTATTGCAATAGCTTTATCTTAGGCAGTGTATACTCAGCATAATTAAATAAGCAATTACAGGATCATGTTATATCCTTTATAAAGAATTCATAACGCCATTTTTTGTGTGTATTTGACTAGATTTAACCTTAAGGCCTTATCAGCTGGAGGGTGTGACATGGCTTTTATCCTGTTATGACAATGGGCATGGCTGTATCCTCAGTGATGAAATGGGGCTGGGTAAAACATGTCAGGTAATTATAAATAAACTTTCACTTAACAGTTTCCCCTTAAAAAATAGAACACAAATGAATACAATATAGATATTAATTAAAAAAATTGTTTCTGATTTTAAAATGTCCCCACTTATAGGTTATTGCTATGCTAACAATCATCAAGGGAAGAAATGTCTCCAAGAAACCACACCTTGTTGTGTGCCCAAGATCTGTCTTAGAGAATTGGGAAAAAGAAATTAAGAGGTAATAAATGTTCATAATATACACATTAAGAAATCCATAGCAATTGTAGGAAAACTATAGGTAAAATACAAATTTTCAATTGCATTATAACTGCTGTAGTTTAACCATTACAAGTTATTTTTTTTCAAGGTTTAGCCCCTCGCTGAATGTTTTAACCCTTATTGGTGACAAAGAAACTCGCCACAGCATAGCACAAAAAGTAAAGCCAGCTAGAAATGCTGGCTTGTATAATTTTGATATTCTTCTCACCACATATGAGGTACACTTGTCTGTAATATTTTAGTTCAGGTTTTAATTAAAGATGTTTTGTGTTGCATTTACTATTTTGGGTGTAAAAATTAGACCCTCCTCCACAGTTATTGTGCACCTCTAGGTCATTTTAGTTGATTAGTCATAAAGCAATATATATATATATCTATATATATAATTCTCTTATGGGAGACCTTAGAAAACAAGCTGCAAGCGCGCCTTACAGTCCCATCTCTTCCTCTCTATCGCTACCCCCCCACCCCCCCTCACATGGCCAGGTGAGCTGTGGTCACGCTGTTTACATTTTACAATCATAGAGACGGGTTTGGTGACGGCTATTAGGGGCAGATAATTTTGTTTGAAAGATTTTAAACATAGAGGAGGTAACTAAGAGGAGGCTGCTTTCACGGGGGGGGGGGGGGGGGGGGGTTGTGTTTTTAAGCAAATATTTTTAGTGGCAGCATCGGTACTGTCGAATTCACGCAGCGGGTCGGCTCGTATATTTTAATATTAGAAAGTTTTACCATATACTCTCTGAAATATAAGTGGTATTTTAAATAATTTAGACATATATTACCATCTCTATATGATTAAAGAATTAAAATTATAGAATTAACTGCAATCCCAAGTTAATATACACTACTCCACATATTTCTAAAATCTAAAAATAAAAAAAGGTACATTATGTTTTAACCTTGATAAAGTGTAACAATTAATGTATAAAACTACATCAAGGTGCAAAGTATATTATTTTTTTCTCTATAATGAGATTTCATTTACAGCCAAGTCTTTATTTAAGTTTAAATAACCGTGTTCTTTATTCATCAGGTATGTTTGAAAGATCACATTTTTCTTCAGTCCATCTCCTGGAATGTATTAATTGTTGATGAAGGCCACAGGTTAAAGAACAGTGAATCATTACTCTACAAAACATTGGAAGATGTAAGTTTGAGAAAAATAAAACTTAAAAGGATATTGAGATGTATTACCCACATTGTCTGCTTGTAAAAAAAAAAGCATGTTATAATTAAAAATGATGTTTCTAGATTTATTATGTATATAAGTGTAATTTTGCTATAAATTCTTCTGGTATAAATTTTATTACAGTAAGGTATACATTGACATTCATATCTTGATAACAATTTTATTATAGTATGATATAAATTGACATTCATACTGTGATACACATTTTATTACAGTGGGATATTGATATTCATATTCTGCTGTCAGGAACTCCACTACAGAACAATCTACATGAGCTGTATTCCCTACTTAGTTTTGTTGATAGTACAGTGTTCAAATTGTCAAAGATAGACAAGTTTGTGGACACCTTTTCACCTGAGAATCAAGGTATTTAACAATAGTTTATATTAAAGTTATTTCCTATTAAAATTTATATTGAATTTTCTTTAAATTTTAAATAACGGTTCAGTAAAATTAATGTATTAAAATACATATCATCTTTGTCATATTACAATATGCTGAAATAGTGTTTTTATTTTTTAAGAAAAAAAAAACAACTGAATAAAATTAATAAGGATGTTAAATTGTGAAAAAAATGTTTTATGGTTTAGGCATTATCTTTACCATAACAGAGTACACTACACAGTTAAGCTATTGCATTGAAACTACTAAAAACTTACTTACATATTATTTTTGATTGGACAGTGACAATTTTTGGTTTTCATTTAAAAAATTCATTGTAACTTTCTATTTTTTTTTAACTGACAGATATTAGTGGCCTACACAAGATATTAGCTCCTTATCTTTTAAGGAGAACAAAGGCCAATGTCCTCCCAGATCTACCTGAAAAAAATGATATTGTTTTATACCACGGATTATCTCCCATTCAGAAAAAGTTGTATAAAGCTATTCTTACCAAGGATTTAAGTAAGTTAATATAATTGTATACTATAAGACTTTTTACAAACAAATTAGTAAGGACAAAAGTAATATATTGATGATTGATAATTTGTTTTTCTACTAGGTTTTAAATAGTGTTTAAAGTTAGCATGGTTGAATTTGTCATTGTATATAATTTAGTAAATAATCTTCAGGTTGCTGCAATACAGATTCAATTTTCATTAAAATTTTTTTTAAATTTTTCATTGTATAAAGATATGAGTAAATTGGAGATTTTAAAACTTTTTTTTTGTCTAAGGTGTTTTTGATAACAATAGCAGACCAAATCAAACATCGTTGATGAATATTTTGATGCAGCTGCGCAAATGTGTTGCTCATCCATATCTGTTTGATGGTAAGTAAATTTTTCCTTTCAAATCTGGTTGTCCATGGGGCAGGAAAAGTATAGTTCACCTGTGTCTGAGCTTTGCAAATGAAGGAATAGTCTGGTGAGCACTATGCCAATCAGCCTTTCTTTTTTTAACATGAGCTAGGTGGACTCAGGGTTACCCCCTGGACTCAAGCAAGGGATCTGAACTCAAGACTTTTGGGTTAGCAGTTGTATTTTATTGCTATCTGATCACACCATCCTAGATTGGTTGATAGTAATGTGCATGAAAATCAACTATTATTTTAAAACATGCAATCCAAGATACTTATGACAAAAATTAATTGGATAAAAATTATGACGTAACATCCTCTGAACTGGTAATTGCAGTTTTAAAATTGAAATTATGACATAGGGAAATGAAATTTATGTTACTTAAACATGTGAAAAAATTGTGTGGTCAGCAATTGTTGCTTTTACTAGCTTCTTTCAGGTACTTACAGCTGTGGGGACTCAAGCTTTGGTTAAAAGTTTTATACACCACAGCTTAAAATATATATGGTACTTCTTTAAGTTTATTGATAATATTGCTCACAATAATATTCATATATTGTAAACAATTTAAAGGAGTGGAACCAGAGCCTTTTGTGTTAGGAGAACATCTGATAGAAGCAAGCTACAAGCTGATTCTCATTGACCATCTACTGGAGTTTCTCAAAGATTCAGGGCACAAGGTCCTTCTCTTCTCACAGATGTCCAGAATGCTGGACATTTTGCAGGACTACTTAGGCTACAGGGGTATGTACAGTTGACTAGGTGATTTTGTTGGAATGGTAATAACAAGCTATTTCATAAGAATGTCTATACTGTTTCACCCTTGACAATTCTATATTTTCCAAGTTAGAAACCTTGTCAAATAAAGGGGCATAACTCCCTTTTAAACCAGGTAACATTTTGTCTAATAAAAAAATATGAGCCCCAAATTTATAAGCAGATCTTTCTGTTGTCTTTTGGAGGTTTATATTAACATCTCATTCTTTTATTTTTGATTTTCTCTGTTTACCCAAAATAACTGAAAATGTTAGCTACAGTGAGTCAAATACAGTAAGTATTTAAAAAAAAACAACCCCAGATTGTTTTAGCAACCTCACTAAGTAAATGTAAAGACAGTGACAATTTACATTTGCATCAATGGTTTTCATCACCATTTACTGCTAGCATGATTAAAGTCTAATGATATTTTTAAATACCTGTGTGGTTTTGGATTAGTTTTTTTGGATAAGTTGATGATTTTTATTCATACCATATTATTATAAAAATAATAATTATTATTATAAAATAAATTTAATTATAAAAATTACAATATGGGAGTTCATTATTTAGAATATCATAATTCCTCAAACAATTTATTCTTTAGTTTACACAAATGTATAAATTGCTGGTTACCATTTTGGCTCTCAGGCTACACCTATGAACGTCTCGACGGTTCAGTAAGGGGAGAAGAAAGATTTTTGGCTGTTGAAAAGTTCAATTCTAATGAAGAAACTTTTGTTTTCCTTCTTAGTACAAAAGCAGGTGAGCTTTTATTATGATAACTGATAAACTCTTATACGTAAAAGATTTCTTTTAAAAAAAATTTAAGTTGTAAATATGGGTACTATGAAATTTGAAAGTTAAATTGATTTCACAAAATACTATCTGCTTTTTATTAATATTTCAGGTGGACAAGGGTTAAACTTGACTGCAGCAGATACAGTTGTCTTTTGTGACAGTGACTTCAACCCACAGAATGATTTACAGGCAGCTGCTAGGGCACACAGAATTGGCCAGGAGAGGTGGAGTTGTTTTTAACGCAATTTCCATTCTGGAGAATTGCGTTTATTAACCCGTCATTTCTGGATGGATGAATGGATGGATGGATGGATGAATGAATGTATGAATGTGTGTCCGCAGCTTTAAGTCGTATCTCCTCCTCAACGAAGCAATATCGATGACTAGTTCCAAAAGCGATTATGTTAAGCAAGTTACGAGGATGAGCATAGGCCATAAAAATTCCGGGTTTCTTTCATGGATTTCCCGGAAAAGCCAAAAAACCTCGAAAAAATGCAGTTTTTGGCCCATATCTCAGCAACCAGACCACTTAGCGACTTGAAAAATGTACCAATCGATTCCGGCCATAATTTAGAACAATATTGCCGAAGAAAGTTTTCAAAAATATCATTTCGTTCGGTCACAAAAATTTTTTTGAATTAATTAAAATTTGGACCGAATTAGTAGGCATTTTATGCAACCACACCACATGCGTCATCACGTTCAATAGCTGCGCCATCACGTTCAATGGCTGCGACGTCACGTTCGGTAGCTGGGCGCGCAATGGTTTTTAGTCATGTTACTCTATTGTAAATAAAACATGTAAAATACTGAAATTTTTTTTAATAAAAAACGTTTTAATAACTAACCAATGGTTTTACTAGCCCTGCTCTTGATTTACGCTACGACAGAGCTATTTTTAGATAACACAAGGAAATTGCGCTAAAATTGTCACTAGACTTTTTTTAATTACTTGTTCTTAATATAAGAATGACTATTTTACTGGAAATAAATTTAACTTTTTAAATTACCAGCTATATCTGTTTACATACCAGTATAAGAACATTTTATATTTGTACTAGTTTTAAAGATTTTACACGATATTTTCTGGTCTGGAAATAATTAGTTGAAAAGTATTCCTGGTTCATTGAACTATTATTTTTAATTAGTTTAACAATTAAATAACAACAATCTTTAGAAGATATTGATATAATGTTAATATTATGGGTGATTTGCATTTGTAAAGTAATAATCATCCAAATCCAAACTTGTATCCTTAGACCTGTGAAAGTTATCCGGCTTGTGGGTCGTAAAACAGTGGAAGAGATTATCTTACAGAGAGCAGAGGCTAAGCTTAAACTAACAGAGAAAGTCATAGAGAGTGGCGAGTTTGCCACCCCCTTTACAAAACAAAATTTAATTGCTCAAAACCCAAGTCAAGTAAGTCTGCAAGATTTTCTTGTGCTTGTTCTCAGTATTTTAAATTATTTAATAATTCCAAATTTTAATAAACCCAGAAGTAAAATCACTTTAACATGTTCTTGTTGCTTGAATTATTACTAGGTGAAGTAGAGTTCACCTGTTTCAGTGCGCCGCCCCCCCCCCCCCCCCCTACATATGTGTGGTCAGCACTTTGCCCAACCACCTTTACTTTCCCTAACATGAGTCAGGGTGGACTCATAGACTTCTTACAGAACTCGATCCCAGGATCTAAACTCTAGACTTTTTGGTTAGCAGTTGAAACATCTGTCATTACTATAGGAATTTTAATTAAATATAGTGAATTATCAATGCATTAAGAATACTATCACAACACATATAGACGATTAATTAGCTACAGTGAGCATGTAGTGTCGTTATGATTTCGTTATGATTAAAATGTGCATTTTTAGATGTAATACTGTTGTTTCATTTAGCTACAAGACATCCTGAAGTTTGGTATAGATGAGCTTCTTACTGATACCAATCTTGATGAACCTGTAGATTTTGAAATAATTCTTGGAAGTTCAAAAAATGGGCATTGGGTTGTCGCAAAGAGCAGCTTGGTGGAGTCAACAGAAGAAAAGGTATTGGCTTTTGTGCTTGCATGATTTATACTATCAGGCTTAAAACTTGTTGAGGGGAAAGGGATGCAAGCAGGTGTTTAAAAGTAAAAATATTTAAAACATAGATTTTTCTGGCAAACAATTTTTTGAGAGATATTAAAAAACAATTATATATATATATTACATGTTTTATTAGAAGGAAGAAACAGATGAAAATACTGAACCAGTTAGTATGTATGTGTTTGAAGGGAAAGATTACTCTAAAGAGCCTTCTGCTGCTGATATTGATGCCTTTGAGAAGTTGATTCTTGGTGAGAGAAATTCTTATCCATTTACTTAATTATTTTCATTCAGACCTTTAGTAAAGTAAAGTTCCCTTTCAAACCAGACGGTTTATGGGGCAAGTGAAGTAGATTTCACTTGTTTCTGTGACCTCGGCATATGAAGGGATAGTGTGGTTAGTACTATGCCCAGCCGCCTTTACTTACCCTAACATAAGTTAGGTACACATCAGAGCTGGGTGGACTCAAGGACGGTCTACCGACTTGAACCCGGATTCGAATTCGAGACTTACGGGTTAGAAGTCGAGCTCTCTATCGCTAGGCCACTCCGTCATTCAGACCTTTAACCATTTCCATATTGGACAGATAAAATAAAATGTCTGTCAACATCACAGTTACATACATCTTATCAAAGTTGGTCCTGAGTAGGCTTGATGGGCTAGTGAACATCCTAAAAAACCCATTTCTTACCCTGACAAAAACCTCTATTTTAAACCAGAAACCTTTCAAATCACCACATCCTGAAATTGTAGTATGTGCCAAGCTACAGTTATACACGTCATGATTTGAATAATACATCCTAAACAGTATCAAAATAACATAAACATTTTCTTCATGAAATTGAATGTTTTATGCATGACTAAATTTATTTTAACTCTAATTATGCATCTATAATGTGAATTACTTTACAGCTGAAAAAGAATTGCAAGCTAACAATGAGGACAAAGATAGATCACTCAGAAGTACAGGGTTATCTTCCCAATTGTCATTTTTACCAGAAAGAAAAACAAGAAAAAAATTATCACCTGAAGAGCTAGAAGAAAGAAACCGCAAGGTATTATTGTTTATGGATCATATCTTTTGATTAGTATTGATATAGATTAAAGCATGTTTATTTCTTAAACGGGAAATGTATTTTATTGAAAGGTTAATTAGTTTCTCTGTCATAATATATACATATATATTTTAATGAACTATTTTAGAACTATTTGGCATCAACAAAGTTCGAAACCTTCCTTTATATTTATTTAATGCCTGTTTAAATCATTTTCTGTGTGTCTAACAATATTAAAATATATCAGATACACATTTCTCTTTTAATGTTGTACAACTATTAAAAAAAATTCTAGAAATCAAAATATATTTTAGAGGAAAGAACTTGCAGAGAAGAGGGCACAGCAAGTAGCAGAACAAGAGGCCTTAAAAGCTGAAGCACGCAAGAAGAAAAGGTTGTTGTTTTTATGTAGATAATTTAATGATAGTGGACATAATATAGCATTAACTTATAATTACATTCTTTTCATTTGTTTGATTCATTTTAATATGTGTTTAAAAAGAAACATTGCAAAAAAAGAAAAAATAATGATTTTGTAATTTAATATTTCTTTGTTTATGTAGCAAATTATTTACTATGTTAGCAAATCATACATGCTGAATGACTAAATTACTATGCTCGTGAAGTTATAAAAACTGTTGTATACTAGATTGTTTTTACAAACTAGAAAACATTCAACTTTAAAAGAGGTTTCTAATTTTATTTATTTTATTTTTAAAATTATATCAGTATTAATATATCCACTATTCTTGTATGAGCTTTTGATGACAGTTTTGATATATCCACGACTCTTCTGTGAGTTGTTTTAATTCATTTTTTTTTTAAATTTTTTTTGTTAATTGTGATTAATATTTAATTTAAAATTATTTTAGGGAAGAATTGTGGAAGGCCAACAAGTACACATCCACAAATATAAATTTAGATGGAGAAAGTGATGAAGAAAGTGAACAGGAAGTAAATATTGAGAGTGATGAGAGTGAAGAGGAGAACACAAGCAGTGAGCAACGGCACCATAGAAAGATTGCTATAAAATATGTCAGTGGCGATGTTACACATCCTGTGGATGCTGGAACTAATGATAACATCATTGTTTTCTGCGCAGGTAAAACATCTTTTCAAGAGTATGACTTGGGGTTTTGGGCAACTTTTTATTAAAAAGTTGAATTTAACATTTTGCTTAGCTTTTAAATATAATTTAAAATAGCTAGTATGACTAAATTAACATTTTTTAAAAATTTTAGACATGTTCATGATCTTGTGTGTTTTGCTGGCGAAATATTTTTTAAAGATTTTAATTTTAAATAGATGACTCTGGTAGCTGGGGTAAAGGCGGTCTATTCTCAGCATTGTCTGCCCTTTCTGCACAACCCGAAACTGAATATGAATTAGCCGGACGAATGAAAGGTGAAAAGCAAAACAAAAATAAATGTTATAAAATTTTCTGGTAGCCAATAATTGTATTTTTTCTCTGTTAGTTAGTTTGATTTCATTTGATGCATATTTTGTTCTATATTTTATTTATTTCTGTGTTTTTTTTTCTTTAAAAAAAACAGATTTGTCTTTAGGCAATTGCCATTTAATTCCTATTGATGACATTGAGAGCAGAGAAGAGGGAAATAATTTTGTAAGCTTATTTCATAACCATTTAACATTATCCTTGTGGTATAAAACTAGTTTAATTATTGTGAGGTTACAACTTTTTGATTCTCAGCATAAATTTAATTTTAAGTTATATATTTAAAATTTATTTATATTAACATCTATCTTTAGAGGGAGCATTGTATGCTACTTCATCTAGATTGAACTTCTTGAAAAGTTTGTAGAATACTGTATATAATATTAGTGTCATATGCTGTAATTTTCAATTATTTGTGATCCTCAAAAATGTGTGTAGAAATTAAAGTTTTTTGCACTAAATTTCAGCTTGCACTTATAGTAGCCCAACATAGAGATAAACGCTCCAATGTGTTATCAGGAATTAAAATGTCTGCCCTCGAAACTGGATTGAAAAAAGTATACAAAGTTGCTAAAGAAAAAAATGGTAAAACAAAATATATTTTACGGATAAATTGATGGGCGCCAATATAAACAGTTTTAAATTTAGATAATTGTTTGGATTTTTATTTTGAATTTTATTTTTAAAAACTTTTTTATAACCTTTGTTCATTATAAATTGATATGTATTTTGTAAAAAATCTGGTCATCAGTTGTCATTTAAAGTGCATGTTGCCAACTTGTAAAGCCAAAATATAATGCATTTTATTTCTAGCAAGTGTCCATCTACCTCGTATTGGTCATGACACCCCAGGATTTAATTGGTACGGTACAGAAAGATTAATACAGAAACATCTGTCTATCAAGGGCATTCCAACTTACATGTATCCTTTATTTTAATTTTCATGACTTGTTCTTGCGTTATTAACTCTTATTTGAATCTGTTTCTTTAATAAACAAAAGCAATTAAAAAAGGGAACTTTTTTAATGAGTTAAATGTGATTTTAACACATATTTAAGTTTTTTAAAGCACAAGTGTTTTAGAATTTGAAAAACTATACATATTTTTACTAAGGGTTTAGCTGTCTGTATTATCTGCTATGTATTAAAATGAGGGTATAATTAATAAAGCACTATTTCTCTGTTATTTGTTGTGCCTTAATTTTGGTCAGCTACTATTTCCCTAGAAAACATGGAGTCAAAAGAAAGTTTCGTGGAACTGGAAACAATCCAAAAAATGGTCAGTAATTTAGTATAGTAAAATAAACTATCTACCTGTTCATTTAAATATGTAATAAAAAATTTAAAAATGTATTTGTTACTAAGATATGTGTCATGTAGTAAATTAATTCAATTCAATTCCTGTAATATTTTTGATTTCCTCTATATTTTCAGTTTATAAGGGAAATCAGGCAAATTTGCCATCTACTTCAGCTTCAATTCAGAGCAGTTCTAACACACCAGACATTCCTGGGAAAAAAGCTAAAACTAACACAGGCTCAAACCTGCCTTCACTGTTTTCTGGCATTGCAGTCTACTTTCACAATATTCCAGAGGATATAAAAAAGAAGCTTACTAGATATATATTAGCATATCCTTTTCTCAACAAATTTGTATCTCATTTTTTTTTACTTTCACATTTTTTTCTTCTTGTCCTCTCTAACTACTAGTAAATTTGTCATATTTCAATTTGTCATAATTTACTTTTCTATAAGTTGTCTATTTAACTGGCTATTTGTCAGAAAAACATGTTCAATTTATAAATACTGTAAGTATAAATAAAAAAGTCAGATTCCAGTTGCCTAATTAAATTTTAATTGTGTTGTAATAATTCAAGTGCTTTCCTTAATGTTCGTACTTATGATGGAGATTTGGAAAAATCAATGAACATATCTGTCACACATTTGATATGTTCCCCCGACAGCAATAAACTGGTAGGATCTGTTTGCGACTTATTCTAAATTAATACTATAGATATCGACATTCTTATTCTCAATATCTTTTCCCATTTAACTCCAAGACACATAAGGCAAGTAAAGTAGAGTTCAACAGTTTCAAAGACCTTGGCATAATAAAGGATAGTGTGGTCAGCACTATGTCCAGCCATCTTTTTTTCCCTAACATGAGTTAGGTACCCATCATAGCTGGGACGTTCTACTGACTTGAACCCGGATTTCAACTCGTGACTTATGGGTTAGCAGTCTAGCGCTAGGCCACGCCATCCCCACATTCTTATAAGCGATAAATTTTACACTCATTAATTACACATTTGAAAACTAGTCTAAATCTAGTTTAGAAATGTTAATAATATTGCCTGTTCACTTCCTTGTTGATTAAACCTGAGGTTATATTGCAGGAGCTGAATGATGTGATAAAAAGCTTTCAGTGTCGTGTGATTACACCCAGTTGGTTGGAGGATTGTGTGACCAAAGGAAAACTTCTACCCACAGAAGATTATCTGATTTCATTAGTTTAGTGTTTTTAAAAAAAAAATATTTTCATGTATCAATATTGGTTTATGTTTTACTTATGAAAAATGTTGACTATCTTGAGAATTATGGCAATGAAAATGTATTATAAAGTATGACATCAATTGAGATTGTGTTTCTAAAAGCCAATACAAAGCAGTACTGTTAAAGTGAGCCACAAAGATTTATTATCATACTGCCAAACCAGAGCAATCTTCCAGTTATATTTAACCTAACATTTGGTTGGCATTAAAAATATTTTTATCATTTTCCATTCAGCTGTAGACAGCTAACATTAATCAAAACAATTATTTTTAATTCTATTTCCCATAAATCACTCCACTTACCCCTAAATTATTATTTGTCTAAACAGCCAATTCACTTGGGGGATGGACAGTTATTATTACAGCTGTTTCTTTTGTTTTTTTTTATATTTAATTGGGTATTACATTAATTACAAAAATCCGTATTCTCATAACTTCCAAAGAATTTCAAATTTTAAGTACACTTTACAGTCTACAGAGCAGAAGAAGAAGTTCAGTTTCTGCAGCTTCCACAGCCTAATGGGTATTGTGTCCAGTAGTTTCTAGTTAAACTATAAGTGTACATTTTTCAAATGGTTAATCAACATTTATCATTAATGTTAACATTTTAGTAAAAATGTGTCTTCATTTTAATTATTGTATAATAAGCACCTAGCAAGCCTTTTGTGTAGTAAACATTAGCTTTAGGTTCTTTTAAAAACAGTTTTAAGTTTTGTTTTATCTTGAGTTTTGTAACTGGTTTTGACTTGCAGTCAAAATTTTATGCAGTTAAAAAAACCTTCGCATCTACACATTGTAATTAAAGAATGTAGATTCTAATGAATAAAATACTGTAAAAAAAAAATTGTATGGCACACTAGTAACATTCCTTTTATTTGTTACATTACTACTTACATGAAAAATCAATTTTTTTATTTTCATAATTTATATGTACATATTAATGTGGCATTAAATAAAATTACACTGAAAGTTGTTTTATTATATTATAAATAGCAATAAAGGCTTAATTTTCTTAATTAAAATTTGTAATATAAACCTTTTTGTTTAAAGGGCAATAACAGGAAAATACCTAAACTGGGATACTCTGGCCAGCGGCATCACTAGTGAAGCAATGCAGGGTGCCACGCCTTTCTTGATATCCAGAAACCATTTTCAACTTATTAAATTTGAATATGAATAGGCTGTCATAGTTTTACTTCAACTGTCTGCAACAACACTAGTGGATTTTTTTTTAATATGGGCAAGATTAGATTATAGGGGGTCAACTATAAATGACAGGTAATCACTTAAGTGGTGGGTGTCAGGCTTTTATGATGTAACCCACATGGGGGGGGGGGGGGGTTGAAACTTTAATTTAGAAAGTGGTGGCCAAGTCTAGTCTAGCTTATTAGAACAATGAGTGGCGGATGCGATGAAATAAAACGTGGTTGCTTTCAGAGGCGTAGCGAGGGCGGGGCAGGGGGTGCGGACCGCACTGGGTGACACTATTTAAGGGGGTAACACCAAGGCAAAAAAATTGCAAAATGTACAGATGAAAAATACTTTTTTTGCCTGCTCCATTAATTAAAGTTAAATTTTAAGAGTCTTTTAAGAACAAATCAACAATTACCACAAGGGGGATGGGGTTACACCATGCCGTAAATTTTATAAATTTAGATAAAACAACAGTACATCCAGCTGTATTATTAACAGACTAAATAATATTCATCGTTATTATTAAGTCTGCAGTGATTAAAGCTTAAACATGCATTGCATGTATTTAAATTATAGGCCTATGTGAGCAGCAGTGTTTCTTTCAGACTTTTTTCTCCGGGGGGGGGGCACTTGAAATTTTCGGGGGGCGGTAGACTTTCTTCGGGGGGGCGGACACTGTTAAAAGTATATATTTTCTATATAAATTATAAATTTCATTTCGTTCGGAGGGGCAGTAAAAAATTTTCGGGGGGGCCAAGCCCCCCAAAGAGATGCCTGGAAGAAACTCTGGTAAGCAGACAGATATATATACATATATATATATATATATATATATATATATATATATATATATATATAAGTATATATATTCTTTGTTTATTAGGGGGTGACACCACGAAGTGCCGCACCGGGTGACATCCGACCTAGCGACGCCGACGCCACTGGTTGCTTTATATATGGACGTTTCGTATTCATTATCACATGCTTTCTGTTTAAAAAGCATAGTTTTTTTTTAATTGTGACCGGTTAAAAGTAGTCTTAATTCACATTACATTACTACTAGATCTAATATAAGTTCATAAAAAATTTAGACCTAACTTCAGTAGTACGTTTATTTTATATTAATTTTTTTTAAAAAATTGCGTGTTTATTAAATTGGCAGGCGTGTGTCGAAATGACATGGGACGAAAATACCGCCCGGATGGCGATGTTATAATGTCCCTTGTATAACCCGATTGCAGCGACGCCCATTGATTTTTACTCAGATAAAAATTATAAATGCATTAATAACAATTATATAAATGTAACATGAGAAAATTAATTGTTGTTTATTTTTGCTTATTGGGACATTCGAAGTAAAAAAAAGAATATTTATTAGCGGGGGACCAATACTAAAAGCGTAGAATTTTTTAGCGGTCAATCGGGGAGACCACTCTTTTTTTCATTGGAAAATATTGCACTTCTCAAGCTAGAGGCAGGCTACTCTGGATTTTCGAGTTCTGCTTTGACAACACAACCGAAGCTGAAATATTAATATACTACGCCAATCTGTTTTCTAATTTGAGTATTGTTTCATTTACCACCACTTCACAATGATCGGATGAAGGAAGCCCTTGCTGCTACATAATTCATTCCAATTCCTGTCTCAGCGTATGCATACTTCATCCAAACGTCGAGTGATGAGTGACCAGTGTCACTCCTCACGCCTCGTTTTTTTTTAGTTTCTGAGTTTGTTTTAACTTTTAAGTAAAACTTAGATCTAGATCTAGATGATCTAGTAATTACTAATTTGGATATAGAATCTAGACCAGATTTAGATCTAGATCTAGTAACCATTTTAGAAATTTATAAAAGTAGCCTTAGTTTATTTATTTTCAATCATATCTCTACTCTTACTCTAGTGACTCTACTCACTCTAGAGTCTAGACTCTAGTCTAGAATACAAATATCCCAATTTCTTATGTTTATTGTTGAGAGGGGGGGGGGGGCTTCAAAATAATCTAGATCTAGATCTTCTAGAGTACTAGAGTCTAGCTAGAGTCTAGACTCTAGTAGATCTAGATTATTTTGAAGCCCCCCCCCCCCCCCCCCCTCCCAACAATAAACATAAGAAATTGGGATATTTTTATTCTTAAGAATAAGAAAGAGTCTAGATCTATTCTATAAGTTAATAGAGTTACAAGTGCCTAATTTTGTGAATATATAATTTGATTAAAAATTAAATTAAAATAGTAGATCTTGGCCAATTCACCTCATATGAAACGTGAGAGTTGGACTGTCTGTTAGAGAGTTTGGACCATCTGTTTGTAGAAATAAGGGAAGTAGGCTTAAATTAAACTAAATTAAAATTTAGGCCTAATATTTCATTTTCAAGTTAAAATTCTAAATGAGGATTATAAACTAATAAAACACATTCATGAAAATTTTAATATTTTTAAAGTAGACCCTACACGAGTACCTAGATTCAATTGATATTTTATAGGCTACTCCCATATAATGAAATAAGGGATAAGTAGGCTTAAATTAAACTAAATTAAAATTTAGGCCTAATATTTCATTTTCAAGTTAAAATTCTAAATGAGGATTATAAACTAATAAAACACATTCATGAAAATTTTAATATTTTTAAAGTAGACCCTACACGAGTACCTAGATTCAATTGATATTTTATAGGCTACTCCCATATAATGAAATCAACATGTTTTTTTTAAAGGCAGAATTTGGTTAGGGATATATCTTTAATGCTATTTAATAATGGTCTAAAAAAATTTCCAATTTAAACTGTGTTGCTCAAGTACAGTTGGGCAGAAGTTCTTATTTTATTTTATTAGGTAGACCCTATTCATGCAACAGACAATTCAGAACCTGCACCTCACATCATAGAAACAGCACTATTTTAAATATTGTTTTTACAGGTCTATAGGCCAAAATTAAATTTTAAATCTATTTCTTAACCTTTACCTGATGCTGTTCTTTGTTTACCTATTAATACTGAAATTAGACATTCTTATTTTACTATTTAATCTGCAAGGTAGGCCTATATCTTGATTATCTTAATTGTAGTCAAATGTTTGATTGATAAGAATTTGTTCAAAAGAAAAAAGTATTATAACAAAACATAAATGAAACATTAAAAATGTTTGCATATTATCTAAGGGGTTTATCCATAATGGACATCATGCTAATTTATTCAAAATCTTGACCCCTCACAATCATAGGCCATTATTATTGCCAAGAATCTGAACCTAAAATAGATGAGCATATAGTCATTTATTGACAACCCCAAAATCAAAGAATTATTTGATTGAAGTTATTTTTTTTTAAAATTTGACAGAAAAACATGCCTAAAGACATGCCTAAAGACATGCCTAAAGACAAAGAATTAACCAATCATCCCTGCCATTTACTCAGCCTTCCATCAGCAAAACGTTTCTGGTGCCGCCACTGCATGACTGTTTTTGAGGATGCCATTACAAGATGGCGCCACAGTAGATCCTGCCGCTATGGAGTCGTTGATAATTTTATACGGCGGCGTGAACTCGAAGCAAAAGCTTTGCAGAACACATCTGTACTCAACCCAGTTGAAGCAAGGCTAGAACAGAGTATACAGATGTCTGAGTTGACGTCTAACAGCAGTACAATACAGACTCCAACTGGTGGTCATATTGAAACTGTTAACCCTCAAGATCCTGAATCCTTTACCTGTTTTATTTGTCATGAGAAGTTTGGATCTATGGAAGAAATAAGACTGCATGTGAAGTATCCTTGTAGCAATAGTAAAATCATCACATCACATGTTCCCCATCCTAAACACTCAGTCCCTGTATTTATAGATGCTCTCCCCGTATCCCAGAGACCGTGGCACCAGAATCGCCAGCCACAGATTGAAGCACAAAAGTTCCCTCCATACCAGCCTCCCCACTCACAACACAATGCTGTAAGCATGGAGGTTCAGTCGGAGCAAGATGTTGAATGCAGTTATGATACCTCAACAGTTAGTTACAGTAATGATAATAATTCATCAGATACTATTACACCCACCAATATATATGTGAACGATCAAGGGGAAACTGTGATTGAGGTAGAAAATCTAGATTTAAACACAGAAAGAGGCGAACTCTCATTAGCACATCTGTTAACCCAACTGTCTCAACAGGGAATTGTTTTTGATAAGACAAGGTCTGACGAGCTGCGATGTAAACAGGAAGCTGCAGAGTCTTCCTACACAACAGAAATTACTTACGAGACAACGACATCATCAAATGATGGATTGAAAAGCAAAGAAGATGAAGAGCAGCCTACGGCGGAAGACGCAGCCAACACCCTCGCCCAGCTCGCAGGGTATAGAAGTTTTAGAAGCAGCCGAAAATCATTTGAGGTCACCCGGCATGCAGATAACCAGGCTGTTGAAAGCTACGCCTACAGCAGTTCACAAGCAGGGCCAAGCCGTCACTACACCATCACTTCACAGCCTGAGTTAATGTACGAGTACGAGTACACAGAAGCACCAGATAACAATGCCAACTCCTCACTCTCAAACGACGTAAGCGACCAGCAGACCATTACCTGCTCTACAAGCTACGAGAGCATCAAAGAAGAAACTAACACTGATCAGAAAATGGGTCATATTTATCAATACTCTGAGCCATCAGACAGCACCGGTCATTCCACTAACCATAGAATTCTTCAGCAGTCTAATTCTGGTTTGAAAGAGGGTGACAGATCTAAGCTTGAACATATATACAACTCAAGTACTGGGCATTATATAGTTGTTGACAGCAGAGGAGAAGCAACTAGTGATGAACAAGGTGGTGAAGGTGAGCAGTCTGGCATTCCTCAGCATTATGCAGTAGAAATGAGAGAGGCTGATCATGTAACTGATGCACACATGAGTGATTCTAACGGGGCACAGAGACCTAACGCTGCAGAGACAAGCTGGCAGAATAACCAGATCACTGTAGAAAATATTGACGGTGGAAGTTACAAAGATGGAGTTGATTCTTCCTCCCAGCATGCCTATGGTGAGAAGATACAGGAAGGAACCACAAACAAGTACTCAGGGCAAGGGTCTGACCTGTACCAAGAAACGGATGAGTTTGCCATAACTTCAGTTTCATTACAAGAGATTGTGGACTCCAATGCTATAAGTTTTGAGGAACACCAAGCATCTTCTGTGGAGGCTTCAGGTAGACATTTGCCTGATGTGGGCTACGTAGATCAAACACACTACACTGTGGTTACCAGTGAAGAAACTTGTGCCAATGACGAGGACCCGTCTAGCTTGACAATGAGGTATGAAGGAGAAGACGGTTCCTCACAGGTCAACCAAGCCGCTGTTTTTGTTGTTACATCAACTGGGATTCACCCCGTGACCAGGAAAGATATCTGAACTTTTAGTCGTCTAATAATATGCAAGGTAATGTTGGACACTCAATACTTTTAAGTTTTACATGAATATGTAGTTGTCTCTATATTTAGGTTCTATACGAATCCAGCTTTTTACATATCCCAAAGCAAGCATTAATTTGACAATGATAATATTTTGTCTGTTCTTTCTGCTTATTCTTTCAGATCCTCATATTATTTCTGACATTAAAAAAATAGTTACTGGTTTAAGTATAATTTCATGAAGAAAACATAAGCAACCTTTTAACTGTACTTATTGTAATACTTAAACTGTAGTGTTAACACATTGTCTTAGGTTCTTATGTAATTATAGGGTTATCAGAGAAGGCTTGGCTAATTATTATATTATGAAATAGCCTATTTTAAAAAAAAAAATATAAAAAATTGCTATACTTTAGGGTTGTATTAGTGTTGATAAATGTTTAACAATTTTATTGACATTTTTTTATTCCAGAAATTCCATGATCTTAATAAAGAAATGTCACAAGGAGCATGTGGACAGTTTCAAGTTTTAAGCTAGGCCTGTAGCAGCTAATAGCACTAATGAAAATGCTAGTGTAAACACATGCTCGTTCATTCATTAATAATATCTAACACTAGGTTTTTTTTAAAGTTAATAAATTGTTAGGCTCATGTAGGTTCATGTTTTTGGTTTGTGTTACATTACTTGTACTTCTAAATTTTTCTGTTAACTTACAGGAATTTGTATTGTTTCATTTACTGTATTTATTTATCAAATTGGATGACTTTGAGGGATAGCTCATTAGTATTAGAAAACATAGGACCTCTTAATATAATAGATCCAATAAAAATCAACATCCTACTTTAAAAAAAAAGGATAGTAAAAGACATTAAAAAACAGATTTAAATGCAATTTTATGATAACACCAGTATACCTTGACAAATTATTATCGGCGATTTGACCAAATAGAAGTAATTTAAGACAAAAAATAAATAAAATTCTTTCATTCTTTCAAATAATAGCCAACTTCTCACAAGTTTGCTTCTTAAAATTTTATTTATAAACAAATTCTGACGGACATTGAAAAAAAAATTTAATGAATTATTGTCATCTTAAATTGCAACTTCAATTGAAAAAATTATAAAAATTTATTATAAAATTGTGCTGTAAAAAAATTTGATTAAAAAATTAAAAACCTATTTACTTCCTAAAAAGCTTTGGTGTATAAAATTATTAAACAGTTAAATAAAGCTCACACTAATTATACTGCTGTAACATATAAAGTGTGTTAATGGATAAACAGGTAAACAAGGATGTAATTTATATTTGTAGTAAACTTCTATTTTATTTTTGAATACTGCACTCAAGTTTAAGGTTGGATTGAAAGATTGTGTACAACTATTTTTCCATGTAATTACTAACTCTGATGATTATTAAATAAATAAGAAATACTTTACTGTTATTAAATTCTGTGTTCATAAAAACATTTCATTTTTCCATTGCAGGTTTGTTAAATATTTTTTAAGTAGTGTTTTTATGGTAGCTGATCTATTTTCCTATAAGTTGAAACAATATTGTGATTCTTATTACTATTCAAACTATTGTGCTTTTCTTTTATTAATTTAATGTGTCTTCCATACTTAAATTTGGGTTCCACAGCTACTTATTTGTGTATTAACTGTGTATATTTACTGTATTTTCATTTGGGAAGTAGGGACTATAAAATAAATTACCTTTTTCAAGTTGTTGTTTCTTTACATTTACAAATGCAGTAATTACTTAAAATAATATCAGTGCTTTTAAAAAAGAAATTATTTTTTAAGACTTGGAAGAGCTCAAGGTAATTTTATAAAACTTAAGAAACACTTTTCTTTTGAATTACTTTAATTCAGTTCATTGTTCAAAATTATTTTTAAAAAAATATGCTTAGCTGATATATTGTTATTTTAATTTTTGAATGTTTTCCCCCTTACAAGATTATCTATGTGCTCTGTTATGTCTAATTTGTTTCATCAAATTATTATCAATTTCATAAAATTAATTATCCTGTGGATAGGCAATGCCTGTAGGTTGAACTAATTTAAGCTGATTCTTAAAGAAAATAAAAAAATTTTCAAGGCATTTTAGAACTAGAAACTGAAAAGCATTTTATCCAATGTTTCATTATACAGCAATTATATTTCACTTTTTACTTTAGCATTAAGCACTGTTCTTATTTGCTTTGTCAGTTTACTGTAAAATAAACACATCTAATCAGTTATAAAAATTTTTTTTGTAAAAATTAATTCCTAGAAATGTTTTATTTCATTCATATTGCGCCCACCATTTTTGCTATTCAAAGTAAGCATAGGCACAATTGTATATGAATTATAATCAATGTATTGAGATGTAAGCAAAGTGTTATACACATCTCTTAATAAGAAATTAATGTGGTTTGATTGAAACTGATAAGCCACATTAACAGCAGCTTTTTTGTATAAAGGTCAGAATGTTTGAAGATTGGATGTTACTTAGTAGCATGTAAGTAATTTGTAGAAATATTCATCAGGAACATTTACATGTTAAGGGCTTTGATTTCCATTTAACACTTCTTTGATAATGACAAATATTTGTTTAAAAAAAAAGATTTGTAAAATCTTAAATCTTTGTGTGTCATTGAAAATAAATTTGCGAGAATTTTTTTAGTACACTTTGTTGCTGTTAAAATAGCATTTGAAAAAACTTTTCGGTCTTAGTATCTTTAAAGTAACTAGTTGATCTTGTTTCATGTACCAAGAGGTTGATAATTTTGTTCACACTTATGCAGCTACCCAAAGTCCGTGGTCTCAGCACAATTCTCTTTAGACACCCTGAGCTCTTCCTTATATCTGGGAAGATTAAATGTCCTCAAAACTAGAAACACAACTTAAACAAAACCTTCTGGGCGGTATAGGTGTTACTGGTGTACAGCATTATACTCTTCTGAAAATAAGTGTTAGGATGCAATTTGTTATGGGACAGTGTGGCCTAGTAGTAGAGCACTTGACTGCTTCCCAGAAATCTTGAGTTCGAATCTGGTTTAAGTCAGTTAAGCCTCCCTGACTCCACCCAGATCTGATGAGTACCTAACTCAGGGAAAGTAAAGGCGGATGTTGATAGTGTTGACATCTTTTCATATGCCGAGGTCAAGAAACATGAAAATATGACCTCTACATCCTCTGCCTGATGGATCACTAGGTCTATGAATCTTTTTATTTTTTTTTATTTGTTAGTAGTGTTATGATATAATTATGCTGAGGTCACAGAAACAGGTGAATTCTACTTCACCTGCCACAAAGACCATCAGGTTTGATAGGGGTACTTTTAAAAAAATTACACTTGTGCTTATTAGGGTTAGGGCCATGGTTGGAAATGGGTTAGGGTTTGAGTTAAAAGTAGGGTTAATGCTGACATTAGCAAGTTATATTAGTTTACTACAAATAACCTTGTGCTTCTATTATAGATGCCTTATTGTGACATCATCAGAGCTTGGTGTTTGACACCCTTCTGGATAGTGACCATGCACATATAAAATGTTTAATCCACCACAGCAGCCCATATAACCTCACATAATTCATGAACCAGCACCCCCAAATAATATAGCAAATCCACCATCCCAACCTTCCCTCCCCCAAGAATGAAGCAGAACAAAATATTTGGAGCATTGGTTTTTCTGTACACACAAATTTATTCAATAATTAGATATTAAATAAAGCATGCGCATGGGAGTCACATGTTCTTCAATCACAAAGAAAAATATACGCTTGTCTAGAAGTCTAGTAAGTAAATAGAGAATACCACACAGTTCATTGTCTGCACTTCATTTTCAATTTTAAATAATGAATCACTGCTTGCTAGAGAATCTGCGTTATAAGGGAGATAACTGAAAAAATAATTCGGAGTGCCGTGTGCAAAATAAATAGATTCAAACAGAAAGTAACATTGATCAGCAAACGACGCACCTGCCGCGCCCATCCTTGTCAGCAAAACAACATTCTTTTTACATTTTTCATTTTAACCCACATAAATCTAGATCAGATCTAATCTAGACGTAGATCTAGGCTACTTCAGATCAAGAGAATAAGACAAGAGGTAACAATCAACATGTATTATTTATTATTTACATCTAGATCTATAAGATCTTAGAATATATAGTATATAGATCTAGATCTATCTAGATTCTAGATCTATCTAATTCTAATATTATCTAATCTAGAATAAAATTTCTAGATTCTAGTCGTCTACTAGATCTAGATCTAGATTTCTAGAATCTAGATCTAGATCTAAGTCTAACAGTACAAACGAAGCAGTAATGAGTGAGAGCACTGACTCTGTACTGTCTGTACTGAGTAATGTTTCAGTAGAGTTGAGTAAAGTAAAAGTCTAGAACTAGAGTCCTAAGAGTCTAGCTAGATCCTAGATCTAGAATAAGTCTAGATCTCAATTCTCTAGACTCTAGGTCGGAGTCTAGACTAGTGCTAATCTAAATGCCTGAATGAATAGTACTGAAAACACTCTACACCACCATCAGTTCTGTTATCTGTTATAAATAAACTTAGGACTTACTTATTACTTAGGAATTAGACTTAGGCTATATTATTAACTAGATCTAGATCTAGTAACTAGATCTAGACTCTAGATCTAGATCTTTTTTTTCTAGATCTATATAAAATATAAATATTATGAAAAACTTATACTAATAAAAAGTAATAGGGCCTAAACCATTGTTATTAATAAATATTATTTAAATAGTTAGGCCTAATAAGTTATGGCATAGAATTTTAGATCTAGATTCTAGAACTGATTTCTTTACCAAGACATGCAGATAACAAGTTACAATAGGAAAATCTGGGGTTAAGGCGGTTAAGGTCAGGGATTATACTAAGTATTACTATAATACTATAATATAGCCTAGTAATAGTACTATTAGTATTATCAGTAGTATTCATAAGATTTGGCATTTAGATCTAGTACCAAAATATTTAAAACATTTTTTAGTACTAAAATATTTAATCTATCCTTTTGATTACAGACCATGCCTCCAGTTCTGGGTGGATCAGAAAAGTGCCCAAAGTGCAGTCAAAATGTGTACTTTGCTGAAGAGATCCGTGCCATGGGCAGGAAGTATCATAAACAGTGTCTTAAATGCAGTAAGTAAAGCTTGTACCTTTCTGCCAGCCAGGCACATTTTCTTTAGGTAACACCACAGCGCAGAGTTTATATTGTTAGTGTCTTACAAGATGCAACGCTTAGGCCTATAGAAAATAATTTTTTCATTCATAGCTGGTTTGAAAATAGTCTATTTCAAGTAACACAACACAATAAAATCTTATTGCAGAGCCTTGTGGAAAAGTACTAGATAGCACAAACTGTAATGATCATGAGGACGACATCTATTGTAACACTTGCTATAGAAGAAACTTTGGACCCAATAGTTCTGTGCCCGGAACTGCAGTAGAAGTAGAGTAAGTAGAATCCACAAGACTTATAAAATAGTCTTTAGTTGTTTTAACAGATGTCTATTTAAAAAGCATAGAAAATAAATGACTAATTGTTGTCATTAATTATTCTAAATTTTTTGTATTTCTACATGTCATACTGAAATAGCTTAATCTTGATATTATTCAAACAAGGATTTGAAAACTAAATATATATTTATCTCTGTTTTTTTTTTTCAGTTATTAGTTTTATGTGACTTAAATTAAATTTTTTTTATGTGGGCTATGATTAAGCATTTAGATTAAAGAAATTATTATTATTTTTTAGATCGTCTAAGGCCCCAGCTGGATCTGATGTCTGTCAGCGATGTGGGAAGGTGGTTTACATGGCAGAACGCTGCACAGGGGGTGGGAAAGTAAGTGGTCTTTATAAAGAATAATTAAGTGCCTTGTCTCTTTCTTATTCCTTTCTGGCTCCTCAGGAGCTAAGGGCTAGCCACACCTCTCCTCAGGATTAAGCTTTGGGCAGCTCTCTTTGTTTGCACCCACACATCCTGGCAACCCTAGCCTCTTCTTCCATCGTCCTTCTCCAGCATCGCCCTGGTCGGCCTACTTTCCTCTTCCCCTGGGGATTCCAGTCTAACGCTTGTCTTGCAATCCATCTCCAAATGCAGGCTTTAATATCTCCAAGCCTATTGTCTGTCTCCTTGTGGTTTGCCACAGGTCTTCATTTGAAATTTTGTCTGGCAATCTTATCTTAAGGATCTGTTGTAAATATCTGTTTGTGAATTACTGTAATGTCTGTCTTCAAGTGCTTGTAGCGTATTTGAAATTTTAGTAGCCTGAACTGATGTCCTGCCTGCCTGGAGACCTTTGCATAAAAGAAAATTATTTGACTATTTGAATTGTTTTATTAACAGTATTTCCACAAGAGATGTTTTCGCTGCAACGCCTGTGGTGTCAGTTTGGACTCCAACCGTCTGTCTGTAAGAGAGGAGGAAATCTACTGCAGGTGTAAGTAAAGGTTACCTATTAATTGATTGAAACAGAAAGTAAAGTCTACCTATTAATTGATTGAAACAGAAAGTAAAGTCTACCTTTTAATTGATTGAAACAGAAAGTAAAGGTTCCATTTTAATTAATTCAAACAAAAAGTAAAGGTTCCTTTTTAGTTAATTCAAACAAAAAGTAAAGGTTCCCTTTTTAAACCTGATAGTCACCTGTTTCTGTGACCTTGGCATATAAAGGGATAGTGTGGTCAGCACCATACCCAGCTGCCTTTACTTTCCCTAACGTGAGTTAGGTACCCATCTATTCACTTCAACCTGTATTCAAACTTGATACTTTTGGGTTATCAGTCTAGTTCTCTGCAGCTAGGCCACACTGTCCTATATCTAATTAATGTACTGTCTGAAGTTACTATGTCTATAAGTTTACCATTTAACTTTCTGGCTGTACCAGATTACAATTGAATTTAATTTAAAACCAGTGCAGGTTTATCATTTAATTAATATAACTGCAGAAGTAGATTGACAATTTAATTTTGTTTTTAGTTTCTTATCTATTTAACCCAATTTTGATTATAGTCTGTTATCATTTAATCCACAGCTTGCTATGGTAAAAATTTTGGACCTAAGGGCTATGGATTTGCTGGTGGGGCTTCTGGATTGTCTATGGATACAGGGAAACTGGATGATATACCAACAAGGTATATTACTAAATCTGTTGCTACCTAGACATTTAAAACATCTTGCTCATTTTGAGGCTCTTCTGTAATAATATCTGGAACTTAAATTGTATGGGATTAAACAGAATTGTATGAATGCAAGAAAGCTCTATTGTTGACATTGTACTATACCAAAATGTACCTACAGTTTTTTATATTGGACTGGGTGAAAATATCTCATAACTACTCTTACTTTTAGTTGTTATTATAATTTTAAACTTTTTAAAACAAAGGATTTACAACTGTATATACAGCTAAAAATCAAGTCTTGTAAACAAAGGAGGAAAAAATTATAAATTACATGGGATGGTGTTTCAGTACACACTATTATTAATTGTATATTATTTGTTGTGCATGTGTATTTAATATTTTTAATAGAACTACTGTAAAACTTTCACTTTCCAGCCATATCCCAGCTTTGGCCCAAGCCCACACTGCACCAATATTGTCTGAGGGGGGTGAGATAGAGGTCAATGACTGGAATGATGAGAGAGACAGGTGTAATAGGTGCCGGAAAGTTGTCTACTTCGCTGAGAAGGTGACTGGGATAGGAAAGGTAAATAGTCTAATTCTCTGTCACAATTAGTGTTAATTAAGATGGCTGAGAGGTAAATAAAATATTTCTGCCGTTATTAGGGTATATGTTTTAATAGTGCGTGTTAATGTGAATACTTTGTTATAATTTGAGGAGTTGTGTTGCTTAAATAATTATTTTTCTAGCAGTAAATCAAACCACTTTTGACCAATTTAGTCTTTTTAATTCATCAAATCAATACTGCGCTGCTTGTTAATTTACTTTATTCTATATTTATACTTGTGCTCATTTTTATACAGTAGAATTGATATGCTTTATGCTTTATTAATATAACATAATTGATATTCTTTATTAACTTAACATAAACTTTGCAGGTGTATCATAAAGTCTGCTTCAAGTGCAGCAACTGTAACAAAGGCTTGGACTCTACAACTGTTACTGAGCATGCTGGGCAGGCCTACTGTAAAGGTACTATTTTTTTATCATCAGTTCGAAGTTCACAGATGGATTTTAATAATATCTTTTAGAAGCTGTTGATGTGAAAAAATTGTTAATATATGAATTTCAATTAAAATTTTTTTCTAATTTTTATTATATTTAGCTTGTTATGGTAAAAATTTTGGACCAAAGGGCTATGGATTTGCTGGTGGAGCATCTGGATTGTCTATGGATACAGGAAAGCTGGATGATATACCAACAAGGTATTAAATATGTATTTTTTATACCAACAAGGTATTAAATATGTATTTTTTTATCCCAACAAGGTATTAAATATGTATTTTTATACCAACAAGGTATTAAATATGTATTTTTGAATATGTAGTACAAAGCATTCCCTATTCTGGGGAAGATAGAGGAAATTAAAGAAATTTTTATATATCTTTGCACATAGTTGCTACTGAGCTGTACAGTAATAAATCAGCTGATCTAAAGTTGATGTTATGAAAAAAAATGTTAGAAAGCAACTATTCCACAACTTCATATAATTGATAAAAACAATTTCTTTTTTGTTATTTCTTTAGGTTTTTATTTTCATTAATTATTATGATACATATCTAAATTTAGTAATGTAAGCATTCAGATATACCTGATGATTCTTAACTTCCTATACGTTTAGCTAATGAAAGTATTCTTTCTTGTAGTCACATCTCAGCTCTGGCCCAAGCCCACACCGCTCCCTTGTTTGGTGAGGGGGGAGATGAGGAGGAAGACCCTTCCGATGACAGGGAGAGGTGCAATCGGTGCAGGAAGGTTGTGTATTTTGCAGAGAGAGTTACAGGCATTGGGAAGGTAAATTTGTGTTTATTTTCATCATTTCCATTTTAGTTTTTTATTTCAGCATAAATAAGTTCTCTTGTCTTTTTTTTTATTATTCTTCTTTGTTGAAGTTTACATTCTGTATGGATATAACTTGTGTTTATATCAGACTTGTTTATGGCAGAGACAGCTTTCTTACCTAAATTTTCCTTGCTTCACACCTAGATTTTAATATTTTGTACTCAGATTACTTTTTTAAAAACACCGTTTGTAAATTCTTCTTTTTATTTCTTTAAGATTTTATAAACAATATTTTTGTCAACACATTATTTGATTTGAAATTTATGCTAATGCATTTTGATAATATAAACTTTGTAGGTGTATCATAAAGTCTGCTTCAAATGCAGCAACTGTAACAAAGGTTTAGATTCTACTACAGTCACTGACCATGCAGGTCAAGCCTACTGTAAAGGTGATCTTTTTTATTTCTTGATTAATAAATAAATTGCCTGGTTTAAAAAAATTCATATTATATTTGTTTTATGGTGAATTTTAAATATAATACAATTTTTCTGTCTAAAAAACAATTGCAGCTTGCTATGGCAAAAATTTTGGACCAAAGGGCTATGGATTTGCTGGTGGGGCATCCGGATTGTCTATGGATACAGGAAAACTGGATGATATACCAACAAGGCAAGTTTACTAATACATCTAAATATTTTATTTTTTATTCTGGCTGTATGTTTTTTTATCACAGAGCTTAATATGGAAAGTAAAGAAAATATAATGAAAACTTAGACTAAAAAGAAAAGTGCATTTTTAAAATTGTTAATCATTAAAAATTTTTTTTACTGATTTAGTCATGACATTCAGTGTCCGTATGTTGATTAACAAAAATTAAATGATCTACTTTTTCTTTCAGCAACATCCCAGCATTGGCCCAGGCACACACAGCTCCACTGATGAGTGAAGGGGGTGAGGAGGAGGAGGGGGACTGGTCTGACAACAGAGAAAGATGCAACCGCTGCAGGAAAGTTGTCTATTTTGCTGAGAGAGCCACCGGTGTTGGAAAGGTAACTTTCTTTTTGCACCTGACAAGTAGGGAAAAGTTCTTCTAAATGGCTTGTCCTTGACTCATGATTTCTATAAGAATTTTACAAGGCTTAATATATTTTTCATTTCACTGATGGGAGTATGCCTTGAGATAAATAGCTTGGTTGGTGCATCGAAATTATTATTTTAGTGGATTCGTAAAACTGATTGGTTTTATTAACAGCATTCATTAAACTATGCATAATTCTTTCCTATAAATTGACCTCAGAAACATGTAAACCTTGTCTGGCCTGAAAACTAATCTTGAAAGGGTATATTAATAGGTTGTGAGTTAATTTAGCAAGCTGACTCTTCCCTAAAAATCTCATGAGATTTAATGTTGTAATTGCCAGGTTTTTCACAAAGTTTGTTTCAAATGCACCAACTGCAACAAAAGCTTGGACTCTACAACTGTCACAGAACACTCAGGGCAAGTTTACTGCAAAGGTAATTTCAACTTTTTCATTTTTACCTTTAGATTATTTACCTGATTAAGCTCTGTGTTAGAAATAACTTTACATTACAAGTTTGCACCCTATGAGATTTGATTGCGTTGTGACATTTTGTACATTTTTGTACTCATGTCATAATTTGCATAATACGTGACTGATGGAGATGAAACTTGGTATACCATGTCAGGATAGCCACAACATCATTTTCCATCTGTGGGATAATTTTTTTGGACAAAAAATCCTGAGGTCGTGTTGGAAGGGGTTAAATAAAAAGCGGCAGTTATTTAGTTTGTAGCTTGGGTCATAACTAGATCTATAGATATATTTAGGATATTTTTGTTTGTAAATGTATTGATTTAAAATAAATTTGGGTCATAACTAGATCTATAGATATATTTAGGGGAGATATTTTTTGTTTGTAAATGTATTGATGTAGAATAAAGTTATTTTTTATCATTCTCACATCTCATCTTCTTTCATGATTTATACAACTGTAACTCATGTATATGACATGATTTAAATGAGCATGTACTTAAATTAACAGCTTGCTACACACGTAATTTTGGACCAAAAGGATTTGGATTTGGCGTGTCAATGGTCACTGAACAAGCTTAAAGCCTGCACATGGTTACATGGAGTGTGAAACTTTGAAGAGGTTTTTTTAATTACGTTTTACAAAATGTAAGGTTTGGACTTTGTAAATCTTTTTGAAAGTGTAAAGAGTTTTTCTTCTGTATTTTTGTATCTGAAAGATTGTTATGGGACCATGTATTGAATAGATTTACCTACTGACCAAATATATTACTATAAACAAGACTTTATGCAATGGTGTTTGTTAAATTTTCTAAAACTATAGCTCTAAAAGATTTATAATACTCAGTAGAAAATAAACATTATTCATGTGTATTACCTTATTTGAGGGAATAGCAGTTGCTTTATTTTTACTTTAGCTTTTTTTTAAAACGTTGTTTGATAAATTTTGACGATAATTTATAAAGTATTGTGTAGAATAAGTCTTGTGACACATTGACTCACGCACAGTTAAACTATTTTTTATTCAATTTCTCTTTTTAGCCCAAATAACTTTTTTTATGTTATTTTTTTATTCCAAGTAAAAAGGTTGTTTTATTAGCTTGATAGAATTTTGTGAAATGTTCAGCGAATGCCGAAGTTTTTTTGGTATTTTAAAATCTATTTCCTCAAATTAGAAACCTATATCTAAATAGATGGACTACTTAGTTAAGGTTTGTCACTTCAGTCACACATCCCCCACTCATTTTTATTTAAAAAAAAAATTGTGCTTTATTTGCATAAGCTGTCTAAAATCTGTTTAAAAAATTCCCTTTTAAAATGTAGAAGTGGCACTTCCTGAACATTCTTGTCCCACATAGGGGTGACATTGTTTATTGATGACCCTTTATTGATTCTTCACTTTCTAGCTTGATGTTCATTCTACAAACTTATGGAGGTTGGTGCTTATACTTATCATGTTTAACTTTGAAAGCTTTTTACCAGCATTTAGTAGTTAGTTTAATAACCTGCATATGTAAATAACTAAAGACCATATGTTCAGATATATTTACAGATTTAATTTCTTTATTAAATAACGGGTTTAAAATGACATAATATAGTATACATTTTTAATTTATAAAATGGCTTTTTTAAAAAATGAAAGGTCTTGTTGACCCCATTTTTTTTGTTACACCTCTTAACTTGTAAAATGTTTTGGAAAAAAAACAACTCATGACACCTTTATTGTAGCATTTGAAGACAAATAACCAAAATATATATATTTCCATCATGAGCAGTTATTTTTCAGTTGAATGTTTGAGATTGATAAATCTGGTTTAATGTTTTTTTTTTTTTTTATGTTGCCACATTTGCCTAATTGGCTAATGCATTTACCATTAGACATTGTACATTCCTGATGAAACCCTGCAGTTTCTGCAGTGAAGAGTGTACATGTTTGTCATGCACTTACTGAGAGCACTTGTTAAACAAAAATTGTTATTCCACTGTCCTCCACATTGTTGAATATTCTTGGTTCTACGTCACATGACATTCCACCTGATTTTAAATTGTGAGTCAGCAAAACAAAAACTTTCAATGTCTACACTAGATCTGATTTCTCCACTACTAGTAAATAATTTGTTTATCACATTAAAAACATTTTTTACCTTATTTTCCACACAATCAAAAAAGCAAGTTTTACAACACAAGATCTTATTGTATGTGTTTTGTATCACCTACCTCCCACCCTGGTTCAAGAACAAATATTTTTTATGATCACAACCAGCACCGCTGTTCTTACATATATATGTGATGGGACCAACACCCTTGTTTCTTTAAATATGTTATTATATTCACAATGCATACATTCTGAATGTTATCAAACAGGATTCTCATCTCTTGTCTTTCTGGTTTTTAAGAGTGGCTTCCCTTAGGTGGTTGTGAGATTGGTTTTCAGAGGCCTTTGTCTCTCTATAATTATAGCAATACTAACTTATCTACTTGTACAATGTTTTTAAATTCGATGTTTAATTAAATATGACAGTTGAAAGTTGTGTTTTTTTTTTAGGGGTTGGGCTTATTATTTAAATGCTTGTATCTTTTGTGTGTGAGTGCTATATTTTATACTCAAGATCTGTCTTGTGCTACTACATCTTAAATTGAATTCAATTCTGTTCACTTCTATTTGTTTAAAGCCATTTGATTTGCAATAATTTTTTCATTGATAATAATTTCAAACACTATAAAAAATAATGATACCACCATTTATATGTACATGTTCTTTGGCAAATTTTTGTTGCACTATATTCATACACCAGTGGTTCCTAATCTGTTTTCACTTGGTACCCCAATGTACTTGGCCTTTGATGGCAGGAAACTGTTTTAAAATACAAATTTATTTCAGTTTAAATTGAATTGTATTTATTAATTACAACAACCAGTTAACGAATGAAAGATGAAAAAATTTCATGTTTGCCGGTTAAAAAGTAATTTCAGTATTAGGTTATGCAGCATTAGTAGGAAAAATTACACTACAGTATTTTTAATAATTAATGTTAAGTTGATTTTCAATCTGTTTTTAATAGTTCACCTGTAATAGGACTACATTTTTCCAAATTTATCATCTCATTGTAAGATGTTTATAAAAAATAAGGTTTATGTTCATGGTAAACATAAATGTAACATAAGAGTTAGGGCTATGGTGGCAGTACTGTAAAATGGCTTGATGTAACCTGCCTGTGTTTTTACAAGTAACCTGTAATATTATTGTGAAAAAATAAACACCTGAAAGTTTGGGGCATTTACATGTTGAGAATCCCTGTATAAACACCTGCATTGTTTATTGCATGTTACCTGCATTTATTCCTATTTATTATGTATTTAATTACTATAGCCACAATCCATAATAATGTATTTTATTATCATGTTTGCTGTGTTGCTAATAGACTAGTATATGAGCGCTAGCATAGCACTTGTTTAAAATGGTATTTGGTTTTATTATTGCCGAGGTCAGGTTTATGTAGCAAATGGAATCAACTTGATAGAGTTTTGCGACTTGAATTTGTGGTGTGATTAAAACAATTATTGACCATAAAATATTTTATCATGAATACACTAGTTTTATTTATATATTTTAAGTGCTAGATTAATTTATATTTTTTAAATAAAGAAGTGTTCCACCTTAGTTCTAAAAGTTTTCACAGAAGTTTTAATAAATCAACTTTACATGTAGAATTTAAATTAAATCCATAAAAACATGATTGATTGCCTAAGCACATTTTCTACCATACAGGTAGACTTTATGCAAACCTACTATAGGTAGACTAAATGTAAACCTACTAAAGGTAGACTTGTATAAAACCTTTGTTTACTAGTCATTTTACATGTTTTAGCAGTAACATTTTTATTACATTGAAACTGGAATTGTAAATCTAGATATGGTGATTTTTTTTTTCCAGTAAATAAGTAATTTTTATTTTATAATCAATGTTCAGCAAATTAATAGATTGACTATGTTTAAAAAATTCTTAACTGAACTATATCCAGATGGTGAAATTTTAAAACTTAATAAGCTTATAGAAAGAATAAACTTATTTTCAGGACTTTATATATATTTTCAGGAAAATGCAAGGTTACCGTGTTAGATCATAGGGTTGCATGTCCATAGACTTTAGAATCAGTTGATGTGTGTTTATCACTTGAATGTTGTGTGTAGCATATTTTAAACCATTGTACCCTAATGTAAACCATGTAACTAATACTGAGCTAATGCAATTAGCAAGTAAACCATTTGCCTGTCTAGATTTTCAAACTTACAAAATCAGATCAGATGTATTTATTTTTTGAAGTAATTTTATGATTTACATTTAAGAAAAAGTAAATGATTATTTTCTGTTTTTCTAAAATGCAGAATATATTCTGGCAAATAGGAAGTGACATATTTGTATGGTGAAGAGTATTAGGTTTATTAAACACCTTCAGTATTGAACTATTAAGAATTGAATATTGATATAGTTTATAATTTAAAAATAAAAATTGTGGATGATGAATCAAATAACATTTAACTAATTCAACCAAAGAAACAAACTTCTTACACATTTGGACAAAATTTACATTTTAAATAATCATAGTAAAATATTTTTGTATATTATCTAGTAAATGTTCCACTTTTTGTTAGTTTTTTATATTACATTACATTTTCTTGTGAGTGGGGAGTGGTGTTTAAGTATTTAAAGCTTTGGACTTATAAAAATATTTCTTTTGTTAATGAAACAAACTTTATTTAAGATTAACTTACATGTCTTATGTAGACCTTGTTAAATTTGTTTTTTTTTAAAGCTGTCATGTTTTTAAAAAAAAACATTCCCATAATTAATAGAAATTTCAAACCATCACATTTTGTAACAAATTATATAATCAGGAAAACATTTTTATTTATAAAGGCTAATCTAACGTAATGTGGTCTGTTGAAATTTGGCTTTAAACTATAAACAGTGTAATATTATATTAAATCTGCAGAAAAAAATCATATCCCAGTGTTAAATTTTGTAATCTTTTTCTTGTATTTATTAAATAAAATAAAAATTACAGAGAGTTGTGTTTGTCTTTTAAAAGTTTGGTAAAATCTATCGACTGTTGGAACTCCCAACCCTGGAAAAATACTATTTTAGAAATGTAAATAAAATTTACCACATTTAGTTAGCTGGTTGTCCTGTTAACCCTTAAATCTTTGGTTGTTGGCCTATTTCAATCTATTTCTTATCATCAGCCCATTGTAGTATTTGTACTCGAGTTTGAATGTAGCTTTCAAGTTTTAGGTGCAAATCTTTATTAGAAGTGAAAATTTTAATAAACTCAAAAATACACATTCCTGGAAGAAACTGTAAAGCAGTAGCATCTTGATATTGTATGTAGGAAATTTTTTATCTAAGAATGGAAATCATTGCTATAATATCATTTTGCCAAAAATAAATGACTCATGTTTTTTTTCTGTTAACTTTATTCTTTCATGTTTCAATTCTCTAACAGCAGCCTTGACTTACAAAACATCTTTGCAAACTGTTTCTTTTGAAATACTTGTAATTGCAAGGTTATATAATTTTTTAAATTTTCTACAAAAAAACTTGTAAACAAAGACCAAGTAAGCTGAAAGCAATTTTAAATTTATTTAAAATTTGAATGGTTAACAGGAAAAAATACAATAAGAGATAATCTAGGGTAAGTAACTCTTAAACAACTCTTTCAAATCACTGAATTCAATAAACATTTCTGTCTCATACAAAAAAAGTTCCAATTTCTTCAACCAAGAATTAAGCAAAAATTGTAATTTTAAAAAGTGCCGAAAAGAAATGCAATGCAGCAATAACTTTCGCAGTTTTTCTCAACACAAAATAATACAAGTAAGCAAATTATTTAAAAAAATAAAAATCAATGGGGGGAAAAAGTTGGCTCTGGTGATTATATGATCTAACGTTAAACTATTTTTAGAAAAAATGAAATAAAAACATGGACTGGAAAGCTTTACTACAAAACTGCAGGACAAAGTGTTGACATAGAGGCAAATGAAAAAAATAACAACATAGTTATTCATCATTTCATCTTCTGAGAAATTGAATTCTCCTATTCTTTCGACCATTAACTCTAAATTAAAAAAAAGTTATCTGCAGATTTATCTACCTTGCTTCTACTAGGATTGAGTGTTACATGGCAGACTGCTAAGCTAAGAGTTACAACAGTACAAAATAAAACTAAATGAACACATGTAAGGCGAGTGTTGGGTACAGTCCAGCAAGCACTTGTCCTATCACAAAGTAAACTGATTTCGTCTTTAGTTTTTGTTTTTTTATTTCAAGAAAAGTAAAAAAAAATGTATAATCCCAAGGAAATTCTTACAGTACCTAAGCTGAAATACTGCAGTCATATGGTAACTCTAGGCGTGGGTAAATGAAAGTCTAAAACAGTAGGCACTGATACAATGAAAGCAAAAAATCTACAGGGTAACAACAGGCAGATGCATCTTGTTTATATACAAAGCCCAAAAGGTCAATCCTGTGTCATTCATACAGTTGAGAGGGGGGGGGGGGTGTCAAGAGATCATTCTAGTGCATCTATATAATGGCACCATCTCAAGCTATTCAAAATAGAGAGAGATGGGCAGATAACCAAACAACACAAACGATGGAACTCTTCAGGGAAGATGTGAGGAAGTTACAGAAAGCCATCTTGTCAAGTTCAGAGTTCATCCAGGTCCTAGATCTTAACTTTAGAAGAAAATTCCAAGCATTTCTTGTGTCAAAAAATTACTGAGGATGATGGAGACCTGACCACTAATTGCATAAGATGCCAGTATCCATAGCAACCATGAAGATAATGCAGAAAGACTAATTCAACATTGTGCGCATAAAAAAAAAAAAAAAAAAAAAAAAAGAAAATGTGATGTTTCTAGATATTTTCAAAATGGTGGATTACTTTTGTAGCTTCATCATTTGTGCTGAACATGAAAAAAAAAAAAACAACCTTCCAGCGTCTTGCTATACAACATTGATTCTACAAGATCATTTTAAATATTGCGAAGCAAAAAAAAATAAATCTTTAATCAGTAGCAATCTCTGCTTTCCACGTCACCATCTTGTTCAATTTCACCACAAATAAACAGAAAAGGAAGAAATAAACAAGATGGCAGAAGAAAATAAAATATTAGTCTTTTTTTTCTCATAAAGTATGGAAGTTTTAGAACTAAACTTTCAAAATCTTTTTTTCATTATAGACAACTTAAATTGTTTATTTTAATAATTTCAATATTTCTAAATGTTTTGAAAATATTGCTACTGAACCAATCTAAGGACAGACCAAAACAAAGGGGAGGTCACCACCAGCAGTCTCATCCAACAAACTCAACAATGATATCAGTGAAATCAAACATGCAGCAACAATGTCAAAGCTAGGTAGTAATTTTCATCAAATAACTTACTCCCATGCCATGCTCATAGAATGAAAGACTGAAATACACTTTTTTTAAAATCATCATCATCATCATCATCAGCTGCTAAATAAACAAATACCAGGCAACCAATCAAAGGTCACATTAGTTTTCTGTTGATCATGTGACTGACCATTGGTCATGTGACCCACAAACATTTTTTTTTTTTACAGTCATTCAAAGATATTTTAAATAAATATATATTTGAAACTGAATAACTTGTGAAATAGTAAAGCATTGGATATACTTATTTCCTGCTAAGCTATTTCATGAGTTCATGGATATGATACAATCTGTGTGCCCAGAATGGCAGCATTCCTGCTTTATGATACAAGAACAATCTATTTGGTAGAGTAGCATTTATCAGAAGTAACATTCATGTTTCTTGGGGCAGTGTAAGGGAAGAACTTTGGTGAATCTACTCAATTCATGAAAAATAACTCTTTAGTGGGATTTCTTCTTCAAATAATAAGTTTAAAAAAAAATTCAAATTCTTTGTAACATTTTTAAAAGTTGATAAATTAAAAAAAAATATTCTAAAAAAAAAACAACAAATTCTAAAAAAAAAAAAAATTCTAAAAAAAAAAAAAAAAAAAAACTAAAAAAATAAAAATAAATTCTAAAACACAAAAAAAAAAAAAAAAAGACAAATGTTTTGTTGTGTGAATGTTATAATCTGACAATAGTGAAGTGATAGGTTGCTATTAAATGCCATCAGGAGAAGCAGGAATGTGGGGATGATCAGAGTTTAACACAGTAAGAAGATCAGTGGGAGACACATTTATCAGCCGCGAAGCTTCATTCAAATGTTTTCCACAAATTTGTTTCAAAAAAAAAATTCAATGAATTCATTATGCACATTAATTAACTGATATGAAAACAAGTTAATCAGATGATGAAAGGTACGAGGTTTACAATTACAATGGCGGCAAAATGAAGCAATATAAAAAAAAAAACTTGACCAGAGAGTGAAACAAAAATTCTGCTTTAACCTAGAACTAAAACTACATAGAAAAATTGAATGAATGTATTTGAATATTGCACTTTTAATGGATGGCTAGCCATGCTCTCTTTCTCACACACAATTTTATTAACATTTTAATCTACAGCAAAAAATCCTGAATGGAATATTAGTCAAAATAAACTGTTTGATGGATGAATAAAATTTTTAAAGTTTAGGAGAAAATCTATTTAAAATTGTTGGCAAAATCCTAAGATTATACATTTCATTATTCAAAAGAAATACTTTTCAAAAAAATATCTAATACAATATTTTAAATATTTTCTATATAAATTTGTTGTATTTGTAATTACTAATATTTTATAGTTGTAACATTACTAGATCTAGTTTCATTATGCAAACCAATAACTAAAGAACAAATCTAAATTCTAAATTCAAACTTCTATTCTATAAAATTAGAATAAACAAGTTAAGCATAGCATGCTACAAAACTGCAAAATTTAACAAAACAAAAAATGAGTAATTTACAAGTAAACCTCTTGTTGATGTCTAGCCTAAATTAGCTATCATAAAAAAACAAATTATGAGTCAAATTAAATAAAAGGGATTTCAAAAGCAAAGATATAAATGGATTCTGTCCACTCTAAATGCTACTGTCCTCTTTTAACATCCAATCATGGAAATGCTCCAACATAGCATCAATGTAGCCAGGTAAGCATTCCAGTTCTCTGCCACTTCTCTTCATGGCAGATTGGCTGACAACATTTCAGCCAATTACATCATTATGACAGTTACAGTAAGGATCACTGGTGTTTACAACAGTCGATGTATCCAAATATTTTTTTTCTGTCCTTATTTTGGATAGCGGATATGGATTATGCCACGAGATCACCCAAAAATGGAGGTGATTACATAATTAAACAATAGAAACAGTTCTGGTCAGCGGGAATGGCCGACATGAAATGGTTAACTAAACGAGTGAAAGATCAGAGAAGTCAACTGTCCTGAGACGCTGGCCATCACGTGATGATGGCCACCAGGAGACTCTGGCCATTTGGAGACAATGGCCATCAGGTGGCCGAGACCTGTAAATTAGACAACCACTCCGAGGGGGGTTTGGTCGTGTCCATGGCCTCGCCCCTCCCCTTGTGCGGGGACAGGTGGGAGGGGGAGAGCGGGGGGCTGGAGCTTTTCTTCAGCCCGTTGTGCTCCATGGGGGAGTCCTGAGAGTTTGTATCACAGAGGGAGTGAATGAGATTACTGCCACCGTTGCTGACACGCTGGGAGCTGGTACTGGAATCCTTCTCGCAACTGCTGTCTGTGGTTTTAGAGTCATACGGGGGTCCAATCACCCCTTCTCCTATTCCCAGGCCCTCCCGCAGTTTCGGATTCTGGGCCGGGTCGGCGAGGTTTTTGAGGAGGAGGGAGAAGAGGTGTAGGAGGATGTCTGACTCTTTGTCTTGGACCAGGTCAAACTTGGAGGTGAAGACCATGAAGTGGGTGAAGAGGGTGTTGAGGTGTGCGTGGAGGCCCAGCTGGCGCAGGAGTTTGTAGTGGGCGTGGTAGATGTGGGCCAGGACGTGGAACAGGTACTTGTGGATGCGCTTGACTACAGCCTCCAGGTCGGGGGGAAATGCATGGCCTGTTGACCAAAGACAAGGGTACCAGTATTAAACATAGCTCTACATGTCAAGTTTGTTTTAAAAACAAACATAGCTCTACATGTCAAGTTTGTTTTTAAAACATAGTTGAACATATCAAGTTTGTTTTAAAAACAAACATAGCTCTACATATCAAGTTTGTTTTAAAAAAAAACATAGCTCTACATGTCAAGTTTGTTTTTAAAACATAGTTGTACATATCAAGCTTTTTTTAAAAACAACCATAGCTCTACATATCAAGTTTGTTTTAAAAACAAACATAGCTCTACATATCAAGTTTGTTTAAAAATTGTCTTTACACTATGTAGTTTATTTACATTAAAAAGTACTTCATTTGAACAAAAAGTACTTGGTATACATTATTTTAAGGCTTAGTTATAAAAAACAAATTACTTTATTATTTACCATATAAATTAACAAATTAATAATTTTTTTTTCTTTTTGCTTTCAATAAAATTAAAGGTATACATTTTTTAAAATTTCAAGAGAAATCAAACTTTTTAAAAAGTGCTCTGTCTATGGTCCATGAGGCAGATCAAGTAGAGTTCATCTCTTTCTCTGACCTTATGAAGTGATAGTATGGTCAGTGCCCAGCTGCCTTTATTTTCCCTAATTAGTCAGGTACCCATCAAACATGTTTGTACATAAGTCCTAGAGACTCAAGCCAAGGCAGAGACTTTCTCAAGTTTTAATGAAAAACTATATCACCTGAATTGTTTTAAGAAAAAAACAATTCTTATAAAAAACTGCCTATCACAGCAGTAAATCTTATTGTCATTGTTTCACGAAACACAAATTTTTCTGTCTTCTCAAGTCACTCACCAAACTTTGTAGGGAAGACAGACTCGTCATTGACAACTTTCTGTATGTGTGTCATCACGTAGTCAATGTACTGGGATGCTGTGTGCTTGCTTTTCTTTCCTTTGTCATCGTACCAGAAGTATTGCCTGCAAGTCATACAACATCAGGAGATGAGCACTACAAATCACAACTTGACAACATCCATAAATCACAACAACTTGACAACATCCATAAATCACAACAACTTGACAACATCCATAAGTAAAGTATAAGACATTTTTTTCTAAAACTGCACTAAAAGAAGTAGACAATCTATAGAAAAGTAAGATAACTCATACAATCCAATAAAAGAAAAGTTAGATAACTCCTAATACCTGTATAATAAAATGTGTATTGCATTAAAAGAAGTAGACAATCTATAGAGAAGTTAGATAACTCCTACAATGCTTAAAAGAAAAGTTAGATAACTCACACAATCAATAAAAGAAAAGTTAGAAGTTAGATCTGTATAATTAAATTTGTAGAAAAAAGAAGTAGACAAACTATAGAAAAGTTAGATAACTCATACAATCAATAAAAGAAAAGTTAGATAACTCCTTCAGTGCTTAAAAGCAAAGTTAAATAACTCCTAAGATCTGTATAATAAAAAAAAAAAAAAAAAAAAAAAAAAAAAAAAAAAAAAAAAAAAAAAAAAAAATAAATAAAATAAAATAAAGATCTATATAATAAAATGTGTACTTACACATTGTCAGGTGCTGTCATGATGGGACAGGAGTCAGCTGTACAGTACTCAGACACCACCCCATAGATTAGGTTGACATGGTTGAAGAAAGAGATGGCTGGGGAAGACAATTCAGATATATAAGGGAGGGGAGACACATCAGATATACAAGGGAGGGGAGACAAATCAGATACATAGAGGGAGACAAATCAGATACATAAAGAAGGGGAGACAAATAAAAAATATTAGGGAGGGGACACAAATCAGATATATAAGGGAGGGGAGACAAATCAGATACATAAAGAAGGGGAGACAAATCACAAATATTAGGGAGGGGAGACAATTCAGATACACAAAGAAGGGGAGACAAATCACAAATATAATGGAGGTGAGACAAATTCAAGGGAGCGAGGATAAATCACAAATACCTCCACCCACATTTAGTACATGACTAAAGAAAATCCTGTAAATAAGTTGACTTATGGTAAGGCTATACATTTTATGTTTAAAAAAAAAATGCCACAAAATATGGAAAACAGTGGCAACCTTGAACTTGACGATGACACTAACAATACAGGTTAGTCACATCTGACGTTTGTGATGGTAAATGTCAGAAAAAGTGGTGGTCAGCACAGTGGGGTTGAGGTGGAGGGGTAGGCTGATGATCAGGTGGGGCTGGCATGGGGGATGGGTGGGTTTGAAAGTGGAGTCTGTATTTAAAAAAAAAAAATTCCAATATTCTCCCCTCCCCCATTTCACTGTAATTTTCTCCCTAGCTAAAGTCTAGCACTGTTAGACCAGAGTTCCATCCTGATCTATTTTTAGCTCATACAGAAATAACCAGAGGTCAGTGACCCCATGACATTAGCCAGCATATGCACATAGGACAGACAAAGCCATGCAGCAAACCTGCACCACAACACTGTCTACAATGATAAAATCCTTATTGGCCAAACTGGCACTAATCGTGATAACAATTATGGCTTCTTATCAACAAACACCTGGCAACATTTTTTTCAGTAAACAGCTGTGTATAATACACTGCACAGATGGAAAACAGAATCTATTTTTGTAGCTATGCCAAGGATATATCCAACATAAAAACAAATGACGTGGGATAAATGTTATATTTGGCTGACCTGTTGTTTATCAAATATTTCTAGAAATGGTCTCCGAAACGGGAAATTCCGCTACACGGTCGACGTAGTTGAAGGGGGAACAACTCATGATAAGAGTTCAAACAACGATATTTGCTATTGCTCTCCCTTGACACATCACCGCATCGTAAACAACAAATCGGCCTTTCTATTAGAACTATTTAAATCTGTCTGTATTAAATGTATTTGTGAGCTATGAGAGATTCGTGACACTTATCCACTGAATGGCATGAGTCTGGGTGTAATGTACACTGAGAAGCATGGACAACAGATGATATCCAATGATGACCTACCTAACTATACACAGAAAGGCGTAAACCTCTGCACGTGTTGGGGGTGGGGGTGGGAGTGGGAAGGTGTCCAGTGTCCACCCAGACCGACAATATTGGCAGACGATCTGGATCCGTGACGCACGTGACGGGTCTAGAACCCGGGGACCGTTGCTACAATTACGTAATGGACAAATCATCTGTGTCAGGGGGATACGGGGATCATGTGACAACGTGCAGTAGGGGAGGGGATGGGGGATTTAAGATCAACAATTTTGTAATGGGTTACATTACAACACTGGGGGGCAGGTGTATCTGGTTTTATAAACATGATCTGATGGTAAATGTTGATGGTTAAATGTTGCATGTTAGATGATGCATGTTAGATGCCATGTTTTATGTTAGCTGTCAGATGGTTTTGGTGTCAGATTTAACATGCCAGATGTCTGAGGTGTTGGATATCTGATGTGATGTCGTCTGACTGTCACACTATGCTCCCAGAATCAACAAACACACAGACAGATTCGGCCAGTGGCGTCAAACTTTTGTGTATTACTGCAGTATCGAGCTTTGAACTGGGTGGTACATCAGTGATCAGATGTACCTAAGGTACTAGGGTTACTGCTTGAGCATCAAATAACCCGAGCCGTTAGCCTAGACTCGAGAGAACAGACACGTAGGTTAGAAGCGAGTACGTTTTTTTGGGTATTAGGCACAAGTAGACTCACCGGATAGGTACCCATTAGAGCTGATTGGACTCAAGGACACGCAACTAACTCGGGCACTGAGCTCGTGATTTGCGGGTTAACAATCAAGCGCTCTACCACCCGACAGCACTATTGAAATGTAAAAACTATAGCGCTAGGCCACTAATTAATATCAAATTTCACCATCCAGCCTCCCATTCCCCCCTCCCCCCTACCAGTCTGGCCAGACTACAGTGCCAGACACAACATCAAAGCCAGGTATGGGTAACAACAATAACACGTCCACGGTATTTCTAGCACCAACATCTCCCCCCCCCACCCCCAAACACTTTCCTGGGGCCTCTGAATCACGGTTACGTAACCTTTAAGCCTTCAATTATCTGCACACACACAGGAAGCACATCACAGAGGCGGTGACATAACTAAGACAAATATCACTTACCAAATGTGTTTGGCCCCGACACCCCTGTATTTTTATACACCCCGCCCTCAAGTAACGGTTTTTATTCTAGAGGTCGCGGCTGGCGGTGGGGGGAGGGGGGGGGGGCTTCTGAGGGGTGCCATGGGTGTTGTGTCACTCCATCTGGCAATGATATGGACGTTTGTTTTGTATCATCGCACACGGCGTATGTCTTTTTGATATGTCCGCCCTCAAAAGGCGGGGTGGCGCTAGCTAGACGTGAAGTCGAGGTTTGAGTCCAAGACAAAGGGCCGTAACTGTGTCTGCACCCAGGTAAAGGGGGGTAACAGGTGGGGTTGATACAACCAGACATGCACTGGCTCGTTACAAGGTGTGGGATCGCACACACATAGAAGACAGGGGACCCCCACACACATAGAAGGCTGGTACCCCCACACACATAGAAGGCAGGGACCCCCACACATAGAAGGCAGGGAACCCACACACATAGAAGGCAGGGAACCCCACACATAGAAGGTAGGGAACCCCACACATAGAAGGCAGGGAACCCACACACATAGAGGGTACTGAACCCACACATAGAAGGCAGGGAACCCACACACATGGAAGGCAGGGAAACCACACACATGGAAGGCAGGGAACCCACACACATGGAAGGCAGGGAACCCCACACATAGAAGGCAGGGAACCCCACACATAGAAGGCAGGGAACCCCACACATAGAAGGCAGGGAACCCACACACATAGAAGGCAGGGAACCCACACACATATAGCAGGCAGGGAACCCCACACATGGAAGGCAGGGAACCCCACACATGGAAGGCAGGGAACCCCACACAAAGAAGGCAGGGAACCCACACACATAGAAGGCAGGGAGCCCACACACATGGAAGGCAGGGAACCCCACACATAGAAGGCAGGGAACCCCACACATAGAAGGCAGGGAACCCACACACATATAGCAGGCAGGGAATATCACACACACATATAGCAGGCAGGGAACCCCACACACATATAGCAGGTAGGGAACCCCACACATGGAAGGTAGGGAACCTACACACATATAAGGCAGGGAACCCACACACATATAGCAGGCAGGGAACCCCACACATAGAAGGCAGGGAACCCACACACATAGAAGGCAGGGAACCCACACACATATAGCAGGCATGGAACCCCACACACATATAGCAGGCAGGGAACCCCACACCCAGAGGGGAGGGAAGCCCCACAGAGGACATAAAACCCCACAGAGGACAGAAAACCCCACACACCTAGAGGGTAGTTAACCTCACACACCTAGAGGTTATGGAACCCGCTCCACTCCACAGAACGCAGTAAAACGCACACACATATAATGCAATGAAGAGAATATATACAACACAGCCCCCCCAACCCACACATAACCTTAGTTATAAGAAAACACCACACATAGCACACAACATTCCAAATCTTCCATTGAAACAAGTTTGACGTTGTTGTTCACGCCAATCAGCACACCTATATATTTTTAACTCTATCCCTTTTGTAGAATTTTACCACCCAGCTTCTGAAACTATGTGGATGTAAATCTATATTTACTAGATCTATGTTGCATTTAATATTACTGGACAGAAATAAGTTTTGTGTAGGCAAGTTTAAAATGATTTTTTTTAAAAATGAGAAACTTAGATCTAGACGTCTATAAATTTTAGTTAATCAATTCTTATCTTTACCCTGTTTTCCCAAACTAATAAATGTAGAAAAAAAAAGCGGCATGCAAGTGTTGGGGGAAGGGGGAGTATAGGGGAATAGAATGATGCATCATTTAATAAAAAATGACATTCGTGAAAGCCGCACTAAAACAACAACAAAGGTTTGCACACACCCCTCTCACCCCCACCCCTCTTTCATCTCCCTGACAATTTATTGAGAACGATTATTTTTTTTTTAATAAAACAACATCAATATCAACAGCCAATGATAGGACGTCAATATTGGGCTTCTATTAGCGGGGCCATTGACGAATGCACTCTGGGATTCCGTCTCGGCCTCTGTTTCAACACAGCGCTCGCTTATATAAACTTCCATCGCTCGGATTCACACAGCAGTTTAAAATTTCGCTCTACTCAAAGTTTGTTATGTCGTTTTTTGATAACAAGTTGATCTGTGTTTTGTTCTCATTTCGACAACAAGATTTGTAGCGTTTTTTTTTTCACAGGCAACTTGATCTGTTTTTTTTTTAAAATTAATACAGGGTCCATAGCCAAATCCCAAAAGAAAATTCAAGGGTTTTTCAAGGATTCAAGGTCCGCTACGGACCCTGTAATAATAAATTTGTTAAGTTCTTTTCGAAATTAAAAAAAATTTTTTTTCGTCGTTTGTCAACAAATGGTTAATTTTTCTCTTTGTTTTAACGGCAAATGTGTTTCATTGTTTACAATAGAAAATTTGTTTCTTTGTTTTTAAAGCAAATTTGTTTCATTGTTTTATATAATTTTAATTTAATTAAAAATGCAATAACAATTGTGTAGCAATGCGTTTATTTTATCAATTTAAAAAAATCAATGTGATGGAAATGAAGAAAAAAAAAAGACAAAGGTTGAGAGTTTGAATGTAATGAAGGGAAATAATGTCTCGTGGACAGACGCGGATGACCCAAACTGACCCGTGTTAAACCCAGGACAGAAGATCGATTGTCCGGCTGTGAAAATGTTAATTCAATTAGGGGGTACGTGTGGGGTGGGGTACGTGTGGGGTGGGGTACGTGTGGGGTGGGGTACGTGTGGGGTGAGGTGCGTGCCCGGAGGGGGAGGAAGGGGAGGTGATTCCAGACAGCGTGCAAGGTTTATGAAATTAAGGCAGAAACGGGTGATAGGTCATTAGGGGGATTGTTGGGAGGTAGGTCATTTGGTTCCTTGTTAGGAGGTAGGTCATTTGGTTCCTTGTTAGATAGGTCATTTGGTTCCTTGTTAGGAGGTAGGTCATTTGGTTCCTTGTTAGATAGGTCATTTGGTTCTTTTTAGATAGGTCATTTGGTTCCTAGTTACAGGGAAGGTCATGCGGGCCCTTGTTAGGAGGTAGGTCACATATGCCATGGTTTCTTCTTCTTCGTTCTTAATTTTAGTGTTGGAAGAGATCCGCTCCAACAAAATTAAGGATACGTGTCAACTGTCTATGCGCCATTTAGGCCATTGACTCCGATTTCGGCCTGCTTTTCTTTTTGGATTTGTCTCCATAGTCTTTGTCCAACCAAGAACAAACTACAAGGCAGCAGTTGTTTGATTTTGGAGTTGTCTCTCCATGTCATGGTTGAGATAAAGGTCATGTAGGTCCTTGTTAGGTAGGTCATGTAGGAACTTATTAGAAATTACATGACGTGTATACAGTACAAAGTAAACCAGCACTACAGAGACATGACGTGGATACAGTACAAAGTAAACCAGCACACCAGAGACATGACGTGGATACAGTACAAAGTAAACCAGCACACCAGAGACATGACGTGGATACAGTACAAAGTAAACCAGCACACCAGACACATGACGTGGATACAGTACAAAGTAAACCAGCACACCAGAGACATGACGTGGATACAGTACAAAGTAAACCAGCACACCAGAGACATGACGTGTATACAGTACAAAGTAAACCAGCACACCAGAGACATGACGTGGATACAGTACAAAGTAAACCAGCACACCAGAGACATGACGTGGATACAGTACAAAGTAAACCAGCACACCAGAGACATGACGTGTATACGGTACAAAGTAAACCAGCACACCAGAGACATGACGTGGATACAGTACAAAGTAAACCAGCACACCAGAGACATGACGTGGATACAGTACAAAGTAAAGTAAACCACCAGAGACAACTTACTGTGTGTGGCTAGCCACTCGTTAAGGTCTAACATAGGCGGCAGGGCCACGAGTTTGAAGAAGTCGGCGTCTGATATCCTGTCCTTGATGTTGGGGTCCTCCAGGTATTCCTTCTGTTCCTCGGCATTTGGGGGAGTGGGCGAGTCCTTGTCCTTCCTGCGCCCCTTCCTGTAACACACAGAGGGGTAATTCACTTACACGACGGCAAACAGTAAACATTGGGGTTCAAATGGCAAGAAAAATCAGCCTTCATAAACTTTTAGTAATAAAAAAAAACATGTCCCGGATCTACTCGTTCCAAAGATGACTGTTTATAGACTCCCCCCCCCCCACCCACACCCCTTGTAATTTTTTCCCGCATTGTTTCGATGACAGCAAATTCATGTCAACATCGATAACCCCTATACTGTGACGTCATGTGTAAGAGTGAGTAGTCTCTATACGGGTATAAAATCTGCTCTTATAGATACTAAAATTCAAATTTTAAGTTTTGTATGTTTAAAAAGGTCAAGTGAATAATTTGTGATGTAAGTTGAGAGGGTAGGAGTTGATAAATGCTAGAATCAACACTTGAACGTGCTCGCGCATGTTTGGGCGTGGCAGAAATACATCAACTTATCAAAAACTCGGATTGATAAAACTAGACTTCCGCTTTCATATCACATGCCGTAAAAATGTTCTCAAAACAGTAATATAATTTAACAATATTGACAAACAAAACAAAGTTCTTAAAATGTTTTATAAAAATAAAATCAGTAATAATTTTAGGTTAATATTTTATTCTTGTACGCAAATACTGACAATTTTGAACAGAGTAAAGTAGCACCATTATAAAGTCTAATAGTCTAAACACAAATTTATTTTGACATGGATTTATGGTGATTCTAATTTTAGCAATGACTGCCTTATTGGAGACAATAAAAAAAAATTTCACCATCATTCACTAGTTAATTGAGGTAGGAGGCAAGCGGCAAGGGGGGGGGGGGGGGGGTTATATGTATGACGTCAGAGGAGATAAGCCAAGTTCCTAATGTGTAGGCTGGGGTGGGGAGAGGTGAGAATTGTGTTACATAATAAATCAGAGAGAGGCGATAACGGATGCAGTCAACAGATGACTTATGTAGCAGACGGCAGATAACTCCAAGTCTACATAGCTAGGTCACGTGTTTCCGGGAAAGTGGCAGCCTACCTGTCCATGTCATTTGTTTCATATCAGTAACATCCTACCTGTTCATGTCATTTGTTGCATATAAGTCACATCCTACCTGTTCATGTCATTTGTTGCATATCAGTCACATCCTACCTGTTAATGTCATTTGTTGCATATCAGTAACATCCTACCTGTTAATGTCATTTGTTTCATGTCAGTCACATCCTACTCGTCCATGTCATTTGTTGCATATGAGTCACATCCTACCTGTTAATGTCATTTGTTTCATGTCAGTCACATCCTACTCGTCCATGTCATTTGTTGCATATGAGTCACATCCTACCTGTTAATGTCATTTGTTTCATATCAGTCACATCCAACCTGTCCAATTCATTTGTTTCATGTTATTCCAGTCAGCCCCATCACTAATGGTCATTTAGTGTCCGTCTCATCAAACAGACCAGCCCTCTGCCCCCAGAATTCACTAGTCACAATGTAAGGTCTAATATTTCTATATCCTCGACATACCACAACTACCTATAACAACTAGTATCACAGAATACCATACACTTAAAACTAACCCGAACCCTGTCTTCAACCATACATATAACAACAACCTTAAGACTCACGTATAATCGACACATTTACAATACGAGTACGAGGGCACGGCTAACCGATAAGAACATCCACACCTGTAATACAGACCCAGACACGAACCAACCGACCGTCCATCTAGCACTGACTACAGGACACGCCCACACAATTAATTACAATCTAAATCCTTCGACCACGGTCCAGACACTCTCTAATTAATTACTGATCACATTCTCTAATTAATTACTGATCACATTCTCTAATTAATTACTGATCACATTCCACCTCAAGCTCGTATCGATTTCCCATACCGCCATCAAACAGCTCAATTATTTTAGTAATTAATTACTAATCAATCAGTTACTTCGACCATAATTGCGCCGTGGAATCGCTTAATTACAAGCCCAATTACCAATTATAATTTAAATAAATATCAGCCCTATGATAAAAAATAATAATATTTAATTAGAGGAACAAAATTGTTTAGCTCAAGTGACTAACAATTTAATTACTTTTTAATTAACCTACTAACAATTTTATTACTTTTTAATTAACCTAACAAAAACATTTTAATAATATCAATCATTGTAATTAAATTTAGGTTAAATAGTTTTAAAAAATCTTGCATATGTAGATGGTAAACATTTGTGTCACGCCAACCTGGCATTTGGAGATGGTGTAGTCTTGCCAGGGTCGGTGGGGGAAAAGAGCAAGGGGTGTCTATATACTGAGTGGGGGGGGGGGGGTGCAGACAAGGGTGAGGGGTGTCTACATAATAAAACTGCAGGCTGGTGTGTCTATATATTAAAAGTGAGGGGTGTATCAAGGGTTGTCTATATATCGACAGTGAGGGGTGTATCCAGGGGTGTCTACATGATAAAACTGAGGGGTGCAGCAAAGGGGAATAAACATACTAAAATTGAGGGGTATCGCAAGGGGTGTTTACATACCTACAATGAGGAGAGCAGCCATGAAGTTAACTACAATGGAACACTTTAAAACAACATAAAAACATATAGTTATAGGAAGTGGTCGATTTTCTGTTTTGACCGCTTTTTTTTTTACCCTTAATAAACCTTTAAATAAGGTCAACGTACTTTCTCCCCCGGCTAAACAACAATGTCGTACGGGAGACAATCACCAGATGGCAGGGGCAACAACTCCCCTTGAATAGTTTTTTCCAAAAAAAAAAAAATCAGAAAAAAAAAACAGCGATCCCCCATTAATGACAATGTACAAGTAGTTTTTTGTTGAATAATAATTTCAGATGACAAGTTCACACACACACACAAATTACTAGAACTGGAATAAATCATTGCCCCCTCCCTCCCCTACCACAACACGAAGCCGCATAACTCCCCTGCACTGACGCCCTGTGTCAGCCTGACACCCACGCAGAAGGTATGACGTCACCGTAACGTTGGTCACGTGGCTCCCTACAACAGACGAGCGTTGTTCTCAAATCTTGTCGATATGACTCAGGGAAAATGTGAGTGATGCACCCGTAATAAAGAACGTGTAGAAGTGGTGGATTGTTTTAGCGGTAGAAAGTGATGAGTTTTAGATTGGAACAAAAAGGTGAAAACGGCATCTTCGGCATTAGACAAAATACTACAAGTTCAGTGTATAACTGATAGACATTTAACGTCGATATATAAATGACAGAAATTTATATTCAGTATTTGACTGACATCTGACATTTAAATTCAGTATTAGACTGACATCTGACTGACATCAATAGCCGTCATTAAGATGACACAACCTTGCGTGTTCCTCACCCAATTACTGCTGATTGATGCGCGCGCATCAAGGTCACGCCAATATCAGCGACCGAATTCTCATCGCTGTTATTCAAAGCAGGTACAATACTTGTCAAATCGGCAATTAGCCACAGAGGTAAACAAAAACAAAGATCCACTCTCATGTGATCGGCTCTCATGTAGGTGGGGGAGGGTGGGGGAGGGAGGGGTGACAACAATAGCACAGAACATAAAACCACATTGATGGTGCTGACATTTATGCTGCCCTGGATGACAACACCTGTCGCACTCAATCCATTGACCTAATTGTTCTTCCTCAAGGTGGTTCTCACATCTTAGTTTTGTGAGGTACCCCTCCAGTCTACGGCTCCTTACTATTGTATTAAAACTACTGCAAGCATGACATCTACTTTTTGAAACATTCAAGTATCTAATTCTTATAAAGTAAGCTTCCATCTTAAAACTACAGAACACCGTTATTGGGGTACTTAAGTCCCACTGGTTGAGAATCCTGATTTAGCTATACGAGTGTGCGATGTGATTATATCTAGAGATTTATAGAATCAGATACATGTTTCAGCATGCTGTAGACGGCTATGGGTTAAATAAGTCCATGTTTACAGTTCGCTGTGTTTGTTTTCAAAAGATTAAAATTGATCTTATTTAAACACAGCATCACTGTATAGACTTTTTTTTTAAAGTCAACAATCGCATGTCTGTATAAACTTTTTTATAAGTCAACTAAAGCATGACTGTATAGACTTTTTTATAAGTCAGCTAACGTATGACTGTAAAGACTTGTTTTTATAAGTCAGCTAACGTATGACTGTATAGACTTTTTTATAAGTCAGCCAACGTATGACTGTATTGTTTATATGTTTGTGTTTGCCTGCTAAGCTTTAAAAAAAATCGCGTGAAAAAAAAATTCAAAATGGCTGACTGTAGTAAAATCCCTCTATGCACTTGGCGCCTTTTTGGTCGTCTGCTACAGAACTAAATATTGACCTTAGGCAAACCGAAAGTAGTTCACACCGGTTCATCAAACAACCCCCCCCCCCCCTCAGTGACGTCACACTTCATTCGGTCGCTCTGTTTGAAACGACCGTGACCACGCAAGAAATACGGATTTATAAAAATTGGTTTAAGTTTAATTTTAACCGACGTCGAGTTTGTAACTTGGTGTGGATACTGAGTACTGCATGTCACCTGTTATTCCCTCCCCTGTTTCGTGGCGTTGAAAGTGCAAGCAATATACAAACTAGGCATGTCGTGTACAGCAGCACTGCTCATATATCAGTCGTTATAGTGCAGGCTAGATGAGGAAACGTCTTGAAAGAATGTGTGAAGAAAAGCTAAGCTGAACACGTCCATTGATATCTATGCTCGTTTAACGACGGGTTGGTACAAAGCAGTTACTAGTATTTAGCTATGTTGTAGAGTCCACAGAAGAACATAAAAGAAGGTAGCAGAGGCGTATCCAGGTTTTCAGTGTAGGGGGAGCGGAAATAGCAAAAAAGGCGCCGAAATTGTAATATCTTCTATATAAGTATATATATATATATATATATATATATATATATATATATATATATATATATATATATATATATATATATATATCTATAATAATAGTTTCGCTGTCTGTCTATCTATCTATCTATCTA